GAAATCATAATGTTTTCTGAAGCAATCCCTCTAAGAGGTATAGTTTATTATTAACAAATTTGATATTGTATTAATTGTTGCAAATTTGGAACATCTCCTTTATTCTCATCAATTTCCATGTCATTTGCCGCAAACTTCCAAGGTTAGGATTCTTGTCTTCCCTCTGATGTCAGAATGATAACAGTTTGTTTCATTCGCTTGCACATTCAAATTCTTTCTTAACTTGATCTGTAATTTCATCTTGAGGAACTTAATATTCTCATTCTTAATTACCTTATCTCGATGTTATGATGGTTTAGTAATTAGTAGTAAATTTAGTTATAATGTTGAATCTCTAGTTCTACTCTAATACTGAATGTCTTGGTGTAGAATTTAAGTTGATCCTAACAAAGTCTTCAGAATTTTATTACTCTTGGAGAAAAGCTTTCATTATTGGGGAAGTAACTGATGCATCTTAAGCATCTTTTAGATCTTCCTGATTTTGTATCTCCTTGATCGCAAAGTTATATCCCTCTTCCTATGTCATGTTAATTATTTTTTGGACTGCACCGAGTATTGCTTTGTCTGTGGCTGTTGTAGTGTTACACTAACGTGCTGGGTCAAGAGTTCTACACGTATAATGACCTCATGCGCTATGTCAACTATGCCAAGAATGCGAAGCTTTCCATCTATTCACCGGTGAGTTTGAACTTAGTTTGCTTGCATTTGATTTCCAAACCAATCACTTAAATTTATTCATTAATACCTAGCTCAAAGTGCATTTGTTAGACTTTCATAAGTGGTAAGCAAAGGTTTGTAGATTGAAGTTTGCTTGTATTTGCTTTCCAATTCAATCACTTTAATTTTTTCATTAATACCTAGCTCAAAGTGCATTTGTTAGATTATCAGAAGTGCTAAGCAAAGGTTTGTAGATGGAAATTAAAATATCCTCAAGAATTGTTCCCACATAAGAAAAATACAAAAAAACTTTTTTTGTATTATAACTAATACACATGTACCCATGTGCCAACCAGGGCCTAAACCCTGCACATCCACCATCGAGGTGATAAAATTTACAGTCAAGCGAACAGCTCATTATAACAATATGAGAAAAATTATAATCATCCATGGTTTTCTTATTTTCATATATGAATACTTACAGTATAAAAAAATAGTAATTAAAAAAAAAAAAAAAAGAAAAAAGATTGGCCTTTGCAATCTTTTGGTTTGAGTCTCATTTTCTACGACTGCTTTGGCACAATATCTATAACATCTTTGATGGTATTCCATGGGAGGTGTAAGCTTGATTTAACTTTCTTTCTTTTGATAGGAAAAAGAGTTTCGAAAACGATTGCAGAGAAACCTAGCTTGTTCCATCTGTTAACGCTTCCTGAGTTTCTTGGTAGTATTATTGTATGCAATATTAGGAATTTATTTCTCACTGAAACTAGAATTTTAAAAAGCATACAGTTTGTTCGATTTGATAGTGCCCTTGATCATTGATCTTGTAAATCACCTCCTCTATAAACCACATTTTATTTTAGCTTGCAGTAAGAATGCACTATTTCTGAATGGTTTTGCTTCAATTAAGAATGCACTATTTCTGAATGCATGGTTTACATGCAGTCCACAACCAATGTTTGTCTTCCATTTTTTATTTAACTCTTATTTACTATTTGTAATTGTTATTTCCATATTTTTCAGTCTTTAATTATTTTTATTTCTACACCTTATAGATTCATTTGCAACTTCTAATAATTAGAATAATTTATCGCGTGGCAACTAAGCAAGTTTCAGAAATTTGGTTAGTGAATGATAATGACGCAATAAAAATAGAAGACGTTAATTCACTCCCAGAAAAAAATCTTCATGTTCATTTGATGGACTCTCTTGCAGTAAATTACATTGTTTTCTTTTTTCTTTCCTTGTTCTTCGTCATATGGGGCTTTTTTTTTCCTTTCCTCCTTTTGATAGCCCAAAGAAATTCCATTTTTATGCCTCAGAGGCATACTGTGACATTCTGTTCTTCAGTTTTAGATTTTACACAATGTTGTTCTCATAATCTCCTATAGTTGCAACCTCTAGAAATGAAACCCCATACTTTCATGCCATATTTGTGGAACAGTCCGACTAGCTGACATGTTGTTTCATCATTTCCGCTGTGGAGTGCTTGGCTAGAGCAAAAAATAAGATATTTTTTTTGAGGATGTGTAATGTCTATGAAAAGATTAAAGAAATTGATGTTAGACTTTTTTATGCGAGTGAGATTATGAGACTCTGTTCATGCTTTTGTAAATTTTTGGGGGATTTACACTAGATTCTTTCCTCTTATTTTCTGGTTATCAATTTGTATTCTGTCTCTCTCAGCCACCTGTAGCTGCGAAGGAAAAGAACCTAGCTGAAATAGAGGCTGAAAAGCAAAATTTGGAGGACCAGCCAGAGTTTTACCATCAGAGTAATGTTCTGAACACTACATTCTCAATTGTGATGAGTTTGCTTTCATGTTGCGTATTCTTTTAACCATAGCTCTGTGGAATGATCCTTCATATGGTAAATTACTAGGTTCTGATGCAGATTTGTCAAGTGGCATGACTGCCGAAATAGCAGCTGGAATGCAACGGTTGGGGTCCCATGCACAATGTTACTACAATCAAAGTAATGTTCTGAATGCTACATTATCAGTTGTGTTGTGTTTGCGTGTGTTGTGGGTATTCCTTTAATCACAGCCCTGGAAAATGATTCTTCGTATGGTAAATTACTGCAGTTTTGTTGCAGATTTGCCGAGGGACAAGACTGCCGAAATAGCAGCTGGAAAGCAACAGTTGGAGGACCATGCACAATCGTACACTCGGAGTAATGTTCTGAACACTACGTTATCAATTGTGCTGTGTTTCCATTCATATGGGTATTCCTTTAATCACAGCCCTGGAAAATGATTCTTCGTAATTCGTATGGTAAATTACTGCGGTTCTGTTGCAGATTTGCCGAGGGACAAGACTGCCGAAAAAGCAGCCGGAAAGCAACAGTTGGAGGACCATGCACAATCTCACACTCAGAGTAATGTTCTGAACACCACATTGTCATTTGTGTTGTGCTTGCATTCATGTTGGGTATTCCTTTAATCACAGCCCTGTAAAGTGATCCTTCGTATGGTAAATTACTGAGGTTATGCTGCAGATTTGCCAAGCTACGAGACTGCACTCCTTGCATAGCACCAAAACGCCTCGCATTATTCTTGAAAGCACTACTGAATTTGGGATCACGATTGTGTTCAGGAGTTTCTCATCACTTGATAAAATCTCAAACGTGCGGCTTTGGCAATGTTTGCTATGGTTGAGAGAAAAATGCTCGAAATTGTAGTTTGTAACTGTGGATTTGTAGGCTATAATTTGCCAAATTTTATAAGATTCTCTTCTCCTCGATTCTAATGTGCCTTTAGTAATTTATTTGAAGGTGAGGAAATGACTCGTTCAAGAATGCTGGAAGTAGTGAAACCCCTGACAGCTGAGGCCTCAGAGAAAAGCAATCTTGTCTTGGCTCCAGTGGTTGATGCCCCAGCTAGGCGAGCGTCTAAAAGGATTGCCGGGCTTAAACCTAAGCCTGAACCGGGGTCGAGTACCTCTAAGCATGAGCGCCGTCGTCGGGCATCAAGGAGGCTGGCTGGGCTGGAACCTGATTGTGTACCAGGTAACGGCAAATAAGAAAAGGGCCGCTAATAGCTCCCTGGTGATGTAGTGTGGTAAGCTTTCAAGTAGCGGTTGAACTCTGACGTTCCATCTGTAGTTGTATTAGTTTTAATTCGCAATGAATTCCACCTGGTTTTGGAATTCACTACTGTTAGCAGAAGATTTAAAACTTCTACTACTGAACTTTTCTCATGTAATGTTATCAGTTTGCTATGGTAATAAGGCTAGGACGAGGATGACGGTGATAATGCCGTCAGTTTGCTCCATGCTCTTTCTTCTTTCGTGCACTTGTGGATTCCTTGAGGATTGCACTTCTCTAAAATTACTTCATTTTTACATTTTCTTCCATAATCACTCCGTTTCTTTTGGAAAATACGAGATTTTAAAACACTCACTTCTTCACGTCGTCTCCCAACTGATCAATTTATTAATGAATTTCTTAGGTTTCCTTTGATCGTCTTCAAATTTCATCATTGATCTTTATATCCACGGATCTATTCGAGGTGGTGGGATGGATACACCTTCTAGGTGCGGTTCTGATACCAACTATAAAGAGTTGGACGCTCCCTTACAAGAGTAGTGATTCGGGACCGAATTCAATTTATGTGAGATAGGTGATGGGTCATGTTCGTATAACATCATAGTAGTGACGTCATATGATAAAATTTACCACCACATTCACATAAATAAAATTGGATAACTACCACATTCGGTCTTTAAATTATTATTCTACTCAAAAATTTAAATCTACACGGAATGATGACAAAGCATGTTCTCTATAATATAAAATAAAATTAAATAAAATACCGGGTTACAACTAGTTCAGGTTCAGCTTACTCAAACTAAGCTCAAACTTGGTCTTTGGAGCTCAATTCACCGCCCTTTTATTATTACGATTAAGCTTTGACTAAAATTTTTAAACTTACCTCATTCCAATTTGGTGGTACTGGAATACGTGTTAGGCAATTTGAACTAGGCTTCATTAACATAACCACTGTTTAGTCGATACGAAATTTATCAATATACATGTTTATTAAAGTGTAGGATCATCAAACACTTCAAATTAAAGAGAATATTTTTGGTGCATAACATTGGAGATAGAATAGCGTGTTTCGAAAGTAGTTGATATATAATTTATATATTTTCCGTAGGAAAAAAGAAATTAAAAATTGTTAAAGGTTTGTTTCCCTTTTGACACACCTTTACCAGGGGCTCCTCTAATAAACTGACATAAGATTTTGCAGTTGAATCTAACCAAAAGGACGAGCCATCAATCTGATTTTCAATTTTATCAAACACCACGAATTAAATAATTTCTGCTAAATAACACATAAATAATTGAATTTTTTTGGTAAATTAAGATAGATACTAAATTCACAAGCCCACAGACTTATATGAAAATTGTACAACAAAGTCGACACAAGGACACTCCAAATATTTGCTATTATTCTTATAGTTCACGTGAAGATCGATCAGGCGCCAAGCCATTCACCACAAGACACTAGATTAATCCATCGAAGATTGTTTCCATCCACCATAGCTCTCCTCCTCTCCAGAGAATCCTCGATTGCCCTGCAATGAGGAATGTACGTGTTCAGTCTCGTCTCGTGCACCAACACATTTTAACTCTGTATTGTTGCAATTGCGAAACCAGAGGAATAACAAATTAAAAGAGTTGAAGATAAAGCGTACAAATTGAAAGGACAAAGAAATGAAGTATAATAAGAATTACCTGGCTAGTGAAAGTGAGGCCAACCTTAACCTCTCCACGAAATTCCTCATCCTTCACAATATTGTATGCAGTTAATGGAAGGCTTCCCTCCACGAACAGTGGCTCCAGCGGAATGCTGGAATATCAAAGGTTATTGGACAATAATCAAAAACAATATTTGTGAGTTGTTAAAATTTATTCGTGGTCTAAAGTAAAAAATGATGCATGAGAAAAGCTTGTCGGTGCTGGTAAAATTATTGAGTTGTGTCAAAATGAAATTGATTGCCAGAAGAGCAGCAATTCCAAGCAGGGATTGCTAAGAAATAAAGAACAGAGGGTAAATTTATGACTCAATCTATCAGTCACAGTGTAGTGTCATACGCGTGTTAAGAATTTAAGGTGCTTGGTAGTGAAGAAAACTCACGTGGCTTCTCCAACAAAATCATCCTCGGAGAGATTATCACTATCCATTATTTTGATTTTGAGTTCTGAAGCACCATCAGAAATTGTAAATACAAAGGTCTCATTCCATTCTGGATTAGATCCTTTACCTGCATAAACCATTTATCAATAAAACTAAACCACCAAGTAATATTTGTTGATGAGTCCACAAAAATTTAAAACCAAAAGCTCATTCCAAAACATAGGCATGCACCAAGTAATAATAGTGAGGCATACTAAGCTTTATTTTCTAACTTTTGAAGTGTCTGAAACTGAATTATATCCTATTCTAAATAGATGAATTGATTCTCAATTAAATATTCAATAAACATATATATAAAAAAATTTACTCACCTGATGCAACACTGCTCTTCCGTTCTTGACTCCGGCAACTGACAATGGCATAAGGGTCCATGCTAGCTGCTCACAACCAATTGAAGGATAATTTTTTAAAAAAAATAATGGTAAATAACACAATATTTTCAATGAATACATTTTCAAACACAAGTAGACATATTGCTTAATTAAGGCTCCACGTAAAAATTCTTTTTAAAAAATATTTTCCTTTTTCAGGTAAAATATTCTTCTATTTTTACCTTGTCGAATGTCCCATGGAAATCTAATGGTCCATTTGTTACAATACATACACAAATAAAAAATAACTAAACAAAAAAAAAAACACATTGCGAATGGGCCAATTGGAAAATTGATCATCATTTACTGTTCCAGATTTCGTAAAACAAAATAAACAAATCAATTCAATTTGAGTCTCAGTTTCGCAGCCATAAAGTTTGAATGGCCCCATTCCTTTCTAGATAGGATTGAAAGGATTGCATCATCTCAGGGCGTGATAAATTTTATATTTCATTGAAATAAAAAAGAAAAATAAGCATTTTAGAAACTCAATGTTCTCATACCTGCCAAATAGTACCATGATGATTAATTTTGTTTATTGAATACTATGCGAAAAGGTTACTGGGACCCTAAATCTTAACAAATCATATCAAAACTCCATATGGTGTGATATATTTCAAAGTCCAGACAACCCTCTAATCTTCCATCAAACATTAGTATCAATTGTCAAACATGGACTATAGGAGAGAAAAGTTAACTAAGAGAATACTTATCTGAAAAGAATGTTGAAATATTTGTTGAAGATGAATAAATCATTTTCAGTATTAAATTGTCATCCAATTCAGTCAAATTTTGTGAACAGTCCAAGACATCTCACAAGTGACAACCATCCAAGAAACTATGGGGCCTGCTTGGTTTGTAACTCTGAAATTTTATGAATTTGAGAACTGTTTTTGTAGTTACAAACCAAGCAAGCCCTTTATGTTTAGATCTGATGATAAAAACCTCAAATCATCGGCTAAAACCCATTATTAAATCTAGGAGACTTTAGATTTAATGGCACAATGAAAATTCAATAGAACCCATTAATCGATTGTTCAAGACTTCATTTTTTTACCATTTCATGAAAAGACAATCGAATGACGGATTCCTCCATGTTTTCTATAGAAAACAGAGGGAAAAAAGAGAGGAAAAAAAATCTTTTGTTCTTTGAATATATAGATCTATTTGAGAACCCATTAATCAGATCTTAGAAAAATCAAAATTCAATAAATATGATACAATAGAAAGGCAAAAGCATGTAGAATTTCTCATTCATTGACTTAAAAACGAAACAAAAATGAATTGAGGATTAGAGAGGATGGTTTAAGAGAATTTACTGAAAAAATCGGAGTCCTCGAGACCTTTGGCGCCTACGAGAAGAACTTCGACTGTCCCTTCAGCCATTTTTGAAGCAACAAGTGTAGATAGAGAAATCGCAAAGAAAACAAAATTCGACTCTCACTCACTCTTTTCCTTCACCCTCTCTAACCATCATTCTATATTTCCAGATATATATAGCACCTTCAACCCGGTTTAAAGATGATGAACCACTTTCTGATCCGGTTGATCCTGCGTTGACGTTTACTTTTATTTTATTTTATTTTATTATTATTATTATTTTTAAGAATGGAGATCACACAAGCTTCTTTGAAGGACAGCTAGGCAACCAAACATCCAAAATTAGGATTTGGATTTGAAAAAGAAAAGGAAATATGATTGGATCATAAAGGAAATTTGTTTGTTTGGAATAAACTAGAATCTAATTAGAAAGAAAATGTTTCTTTTACTATTTTACTTGAATTGTAATATTATGTTTATTATAAAAAAATTGGGTAAAATGCAAACTTTTTAATTAAGTAATTTATAAATCTCATTAAACTTCACCCTTTTTCAAAGGATTTAAGTACACATTATTTTGGAATTTCAAATCTTATGAAAGTCAATTCCTTTTTTAAATTTCATTTATTCCAAACACTAACTAAAAATTTTATCATTTCTCATTTTATTGAATTTCAAATCTCTCCAAAACCTAACATTCCAAACCCTAGGAATTTTATTTGAATTTCAAATCTCTCCGAATCCCAACATTCCAAAACCTCTCAACAAAGAAAGTGAAATTTCTATATTTTCAATCAGAGTAATGTTACAAATGTATTTTTCTCCTTTTAAAATATTTAAATAATAATAAAAATCACCTATTCTTCCCCACTATCATAACTATTGTGGAGGGTCAGTATCTAACCATGACATGGTTGGAAAAAAATATTAAAAACTCAATTTTAGTTCCGCTGTATGAAATTAAAGTCTTAAAATTGGAGCCGAACATAATTTGTAGGACTTTTAAATGCTAAGTATATAAAACACTCCAAGGGCTAAGGTTTACTTTTTTAGCAAATAACACATCTCTTTTACTTTGAATCTATAACTCTGGCAAAAATTAAAAAATATTATAAACTTTGACTTTTTGGCAGTCAACAGTTAGAAAAGTACCGTTAACAAATTATGTGTCCCGCACATGACTAATTCATTTTATTAAATAACAAAAATGCCCTTCTTTGACTGAATTTTTTATTATTTTTTAACTAAATTTTTACATTAACTAAATTTGGTTTACTATTTTTTTACTATTTAAATACAGAAATACCTTTCTTTTAACTGGATTTGTTTAATAAAAGCCATAATAGTCATCTTACATTAATTGAATTTTTATTATTTTTATTTTAATTGTACGAAGGGTATTTTAGTATTTTTATCGTTCAATTAACGGAAGAATGAGGGGTCGTTTGGCATGCGCTTTATTTTAGGTGTTTTGTTTTTTGCTAAAACAGAAACAGTGTTTTTGCTGTAGGAGTGTTTTGGAAAAAAATCAGAACCATGTTTGGGAACAATGTTTTGCTGTGGAAATGTCAAAAATAGAAACATGTACAGTTATGGTTTGGGCCATAAACAGTTGTCAAAATAAATTTAAAAAAAAAAAAAACATATTTTGGTGTTTTGGCTTTGCGCCACTGTTTACAAAATGTTTTAGTACTTTGTAAAATAAAACAAGGCCTCATCAAATATATTTTTGTTACCAAAATCGACACTATAATAGTTCAAAAACAAAAACAATATAAACAAAACGCATGTCAAACGGGGCCAAAGAGAAGGTCCTTGTTCGCTCCTAAAATAAATTTTAAGGTGTTTCAAGAATTTATAGGAGATTATATAAGCTATATGTATATTACAAGGATGTTAAATGCTTACAACCCTACTCTTATATAGTAATATTAATCAAAAAATGATGGTCTAATGACAAAGGTGGGCAGTTTGAATATCGTTGGAGCAACCTCCAAATGAACTTTTGGGGGCATGTGAAAAAAGAGACTACATATGTCCACTGATACCACCTCATTGACACAATATATATATATATATATGGTAAAAATGCAAAAAAATAAAATCCTGAATTATTGATCTTTTGTAAATAACTTCATGAATTAAAGATTGCCTCTAAACTATTAATTTGTTGCAATTAAGGACAAGAGTAATGATAGGAAAATTGAAAAGAAATTCCCAAATTAATATCGAATTTGACGTGATTGGCCATTATTATCACTTGTTAAACAATTATTTTTTGAAAATTGTTTAAGTAGATGAGGTGGACAAAAACACGTCAAATTTGATACTTATTCGGGATTAATTCTTCGATCTCCCTATCATTATTCTAAGGACAAACATATCACAAAAGATTATTTTATCCTTTCTTATTAAAATTGTCATTTCTTATAAAATTATTTTTTATTATATTTTCTCTTATTCAAAAATTAATTATACCATTTAACTTAATTTTATAATTAGTCTTATTTTATCATAAAAATGAAAAATAATAAATAGATTAGGAGCTACCATTCTCTAAAATGATTAACGTATTATAATAGAACTTATTATACTCACTTCAAAAAAATTCAGGCTCCGTTTGTTTCAACGTAAAATATTTTTTTTATTTTTTAGGTAAAATATTCTTTTAATTTTTACTTTTTCGGTGTTTGGCAAAGGTTTATGTCGAGATTGAGGTTGAGCCCATCGGGCGGAGCATGTAAAATAATTTGCCGAAAATTTATGGATAAGTTATTTTTGTTAAATTTTAATATATTTTTTTTCTTTATAAATATTTTACTACAACCAAACACCAAAAAATAAAAATATAAAAAAATTTTACATCTAAATAAACGGAGCCTTAGTGTAAGCAAATATCTTTTTTTTTTCATACAATATTCATGAAAAATTAATAAACTACGGAACTAAAAAAATAACTTCTTTTTTATGCAATATATTCATGAAAAATTAATAAACTACGTAAGTAAAAAATATCCTTTTTTTTATGTAATATATTCATGAAAAATTAAAAAATTACTTAAAGTATTTCAAAATTTTCTACTTAAGATTTTCATTTAAATAATTAATTTCAAAATTATAGGCAAAATTATGCAAATTTAATGAAGAATATTTCATCAAATTAGTTTGAATTTTTTTCATAATTCATTTCAACGAGAAAAATAGATAAGTGTAATTCAATAATATGGTCATTTAATAAAAAATAGTCATAACGCATTTTGCGACTAAATATGATAGTTGAGGAGGGTTTTATGCACAAAAATACTTCAAAAATTATTTATAAATTTAAATACAATTCAAGAGAGTTTGTTGCACTTTACCTATAAATATATTTTGTAACCATAAGTCACCATAATAGCTTATTTTCACAAATTAGATAGAGAAAAAATGCAATAACACTATTATGACCCACTACCCAGATAAGACCTCTCTGCTCTCCATCCGATAATTGTAAATACAAATGTCTCATTCCATTCTGGATTTATTATAAAAAAATAAGAAATAAAAAAAAAGCTCATGCTCCATCCAAAACAAGTCAATATTTCACGTGGAGGAGTGTGAACATGTGTGTAAATAATAGAGTTTGTCTTCTTTGGAATGCGACGGAGACGGAACAACTCGTTGTTAATACTAAAACACAACCCCCAGTCATAGCCTACCCTAGACCCACCCACCCCACCTGTTGCCCTTTTTTATTACACACACTCGTCATCCTAGTACTATTACTTCCTTCTTTATATATATATATATATATATAGGTAGGACTGAATTGCGCAAAAAATAAATAAATGAAAACAATTTTTTCGAAAACTTGTTTCGACTCGTTTGCTCAATTCGATCAACAAAGAGATTAGCGATTAAAACTTCAGAATATATCACTAAAATTAATATTTCGTAAATCATACAGTTGGCTCAATTCAACAAAACTCATCAAAGAAGTATTGCATCTGTGTCAAACAGCAATACCAAATCAGACCATGCCAGTTTGATCATACAATAGATTAGCCTCGTTGGTTATAATTTCCACAATAATGATTGAATAACATACTGATCATTATTTAACAAATTAAGAGGAACTGTGTGAAAAAAAACAAACACTTGGACAAACTTCTTGTTTTTATTGATCAGGATATTACTTCAACAGCTTCAATAATATACAATATTGAATTATACAACAGTGAATACAAGGAATATCCAAATATTTACCATTATTCTTTTTATTCATCCCAAGATCAAACACATATTAGTCAGTAAAGTTTACCTCACAGATTCAAGATTAATAATCCCTAGAGGATTCTCTCCATCCACCGATGTTGTTCTCATGCTCTCTCGAGTATCCTCCCCCAGAGTGTCCTCCCCCAGAGTATCCGCCCCGATCTCTCTGTAATGATGAATTAATGGACATATTTAATCCGGGCCACTAATATGTTTAACTATATACTATTGTAATTGTGAAAACCAGAATAATAAACATGCATAGAGGATGCTGATTAAGGTGTTACAACCATTTATGCCTATCCAATATGAGCATAGCACTACTATCACCTTCTTTTTTCTCTTCATTTATTTGGATGTAGACTGCTTTTTTTTTTTTTTAATTAAATTTCAATTTCTAAGTCGGAATTTCAAGAAACGAAATAGTTTTGAATTAACTTTGATATGAATTACCTGAGGAGTAAAAGTGAGAGCAACTTTAATCTCTCCACAATATTTCTTGTCCTTGGCAACTTTGTATGAAGTTGCTTGCACTTTCCCGTGATGGAACACTGACTCCAGAGGTATGCTGCAAGAGTGCAAGTCGATGACCATTTAATCAGAATGGATATTCGTCCGAGCCTCTTAAGGTTTAACAACATTCTCGTGAACAAAAACGAACTACGATTTCATTATATCAATAGAAAAAGACATTACTGCTTGGTGCAATGGTAAAGTTCGGGTTGACAAGCATGTGGACCACATGTTTCAAGTTCTGGCTTAAAAATGATGTTACAGGCACACAATGCAAAAATGTTTTAAGGTTTCATGTACTATTATTCTATCTTGTATTGCTGGTAATAAAACCGACTTACTTACCGAAGAAATAAATAAATTAGGAAAATTGACTCACATTGCTTCTCCAACAAAATCATCTGCAGTGAAAGTGTCCTTGTCCATTATTTTGATTCTGAGTTCGGAAACATCCATGTCGGAGAGTGTGAATACAAAGGTTTCATTCCATCTAGGGTCAGATCCTTTACCTGCATAAACAAATCTGATGAATACTTGACTAAAATTTTGTTTTCTTAAAAAAAAAAGAAAGAAAAACCACCATTGTAAATTACAAATGTACCTGATGCAACACTGCTTTTCTTTTCCTGAGACCGGCAGGTGATAATGGCATAAGGGTCCATGTTACCTGATTGTAAATTGGAACTCAACAAAATGAATTAATGAATAAAAACATCAAATTGGGGCACTTTGAATGTCTATATCTACATATTGTAGATAAGACATATATATATATGCACCCATTTTTGTTGAAGTGGAGACTCAAAAGTCTCAACCTTTCATTTAGAAATTAAGAGGAGATACCATTGTCAGCTTGATACAATACACATAATTTAATATGAAATCATTTAAATTGGTTAAAACAAAAAATAAATATGTTACCAGAAAAAGAAAAACCAACAAGATGGATGGATTTAAATCTGTCATCTCAAACCCTATATTTCTTCATACCAGATGACTTTGAGGAGCCATTCGGATTTACGATTAAAAATGGATGGATTTAGGTTCAATTATTTAAGAAGTATAGTTTGATTTTAGATCTAATAAATATAGATTTAAGTTTTAACAATATGGATGGATTAATTTCAGAGGAATATATATTTGTCTGAATTTCAAACAATAAAATGCAATGAATTATTTTTTAACAATTGAAATTGTACAAGAATTATAAATATCTAACATCACCTTGGATTCCAAATCTAAATCCAGTTTAATACATTGAGTTCAAATTCATTCATTTATCCAATTGAAACATTATGCCTCACTAAAATATAAAAATAAGTAAAATTTAATAAACCATTGATCTTATGCTTGCCATTTCCCAAACATACTGCTTCATTCAATAGGATGAATATTGAATGAATTTATACATTGAATGCTATATAAATATCCAAACAGACCCTTAACTTTATCACATTATATGCATGTGTATAAATAATGTGAAATATTTAGAAGTGCAACAAAATAAATGATTGTGATGATGATGGTAACAAACTTACAGAGAAAATCATTGTTCTCGAGAGCTTTGGCGCTCACGAGAAGAACTTCAAGTGTTGCGTGAGACATTTTGGGACGAACAACCCACACAATACACACACACACACACACACACAAACTGTAGAGAGAGAAGAGAAGAGAAGAGAAGAGAAGACACAAATTTGTTGATTCGATCTATCTCTTCCCCCGTCTCTCTATATATGTCCGTGTGTGTATAATATATATATACATGGTCTTGAACCCGGTTTGAATAGTGATGACCGAATCAGTCGCGGTTCGTTCACTTTTGATTTTTGGACCACAAGCTTCTTTCCATGTCAGCTGCCCCTGCCCCGTTGAATTTCCACATTCTTTTCTTTTCTTTTCTTTTTTTAATTAAATAACCTATGGACTAGAGTCACCAAAGAATTGCTATAAATTGCAAAATTGACAAAGTTTTCTTTTTCTTCCTCTCTTTTTTTTTCTTTTTTTCTTTTTTCCAAAGTTAAGAAATTTTTAGATGGTCTCTTAGGTTAATGGCCCAGTTAAAAACATAAATAAAGAGTTAGAAAAAATTTACACATTACAATTGTTTACGTGTCTAATGATGAACGATCTGAATAATGGTGATTAGAAACATAAATAAAAAGTTAAGAAAAACTTACACATTTTTAACACAATTGTTTACATAATTACATGTCTAATGATGAATAATCAAGAACCACTTATCTCAGAGGATATAATAACTTATCATCTTCTTCTATATATATATTGAAAAATTATTTTATGATTCATAATTATATCGTCTCGAACTATATACAACCATGTAACCCGAAATCATATAATTTAAGACCATATGATAATTTTTCTATAGATACCATGCTTATTTTATGAGCCCCAATGGTGAGGCAGAATCATAACTTGCATCAGTGGAATTCCATCAGTGAGGCAGAAATATAGGTCGTTAGTACTAATGAAATAATAATAATAAAAAAAAAAAACCACTAAATCTTATTATTATTATTATTAATTTAAAAAATTAAATACGTGTATCAAAATTCCAGCAAGTCTAATAAAATTCTGAGATGCTCATATATTTCTCTTTTATATTGTCTCCCTCTATATGAGCATCTCATAATTTTATTGGATTTGCTGGAATTTTAATAGAGGTATTTAACTTCTTCTTTTTTAAATAATATTTAGTGGGTTTTTTTTTTTCAGTTATTTCATTAGTGCTAACGACCTATATTTTTGCCTCACTGATGGGATTCACACATCACCACGTGTCAATTTTTTAATGGCTAATTTTCCACAAGTGCTGTACCACTTGAGCCTTTATTTATTTATTTTTTATATATAAATTTATTTATTTATTTACCCCGAAACACAATGTTCATATTTTACAGTTTAATTCTCGATTATATTTGATTTTTCCCCGTCGTTTGGATCTTTTCCAAGCAGTATTATATTCCAAACAGCTGTGTAATATAAGTTATTTTTTTATTTTATCCTTTTTCATTTTAAATTGTGAATCAAACCAAATTTAAAAAGTTTTGAGTCCTATCACTCTTGACCTTTCGTGTCAAAATAAATTATTGAAATGTTATTAAAGTGTTCTTATGCCAAAATAACTTATTGACATGTTACTAAAATCTTCAAATAGGGTAGAACAACACTAAAAATGATTATTATTTTATAATTAGTAGTATTAAAATGTGGGTGAGTTACTTTTACATGGATAAAACGAAAACAATCAATTATTTTTTCCTCCTTTTTTATTTTTATTTTTATTTTTTAGATATAGGTTTCATGCTTCTAAATTAAAACCGTATCAGACCCGACCCACATCACCTTTCCTTCCAACACACGATGCCTATTTTTTTTTTTCGATGCTTTGAGAATTCAGAAGTTTAAAAATGAAACGCAATGTATGAAGCAGACTCTTCGGGTGAACTTTACACACACGCACACTCTCTCTCTCCTCTCTCTGTTTCCCGCTAATTTCTGTCAATCGTCATCCCCTTCCCCTCACTTTCCCTCTCTAACTGCTGATCCATAGCTTCCACGAGTCTTATCTCTCTCTAAACAACCTTCTTCTTTAGTTTCTGTCTCCTAAAGATTCAACCTTTTTTGTTTCTTATTGTTTTGTTTCCCTTCTGTCTCTCTCTTCCATCCTTCTTTCTAGCCGTTACAGTCTTTCCTAATACATCAAAACAGATAAAATCTTTCACAAACCCTATCTCTCTATATCATATCGGACGCCTTTGTTCTTTTACGGTTATCGTTGCTTTTTAGATTCTGTTTTGTGTTCGACCGTTGGTTTTTTTTTGTTCAAAATTTGAATTATTGGGTTGAATTTGTAATAGGGATTGAACTAGGTTAGTCCACTATAGCTCGAATGTTGGATTTTATATTTGGGTTTTCTTTATATTTTTATTTTCTTGTAATTTATTGTATGTAAACTGGTTTAGAGAGAGAAGGTTATGGAAGAAGTTAAGGGTTCTAATGTTGAAACAGAAAAGGATGGTGTAATTTCTCCATTATCCGATGGCAATAGCGGTTCTGCAGATTGCAAGCCAGGGTCTAATGAAGGGTGTGTGTTCTTTTACCTTTCTTTATCCTCTGTTTGGTTGCTGAGAAAGTTTGGGGATAAAAAAATCAATTGAAACTGAATTGTTGAATCTCATGTTTTATTTTATTTTGTACCAAAAAATGGGACACTCAACTCAACTAAACTAAGCCATACAGTTTTATTAGGCTCAGTGCACCAATGGTCTTAGTTTTCTTGGCTGCCAAAGAAATTAAAATTGTTAAATAAAAAATTGTTTACTTTAGTTTAACTTCCAAAATTGAATTGCTACATCTATATCTTCCATTCATTGCAAATCTTCTATATAGTTTTGCTATTAAATTTTTCATAAATGAAAAATGTGCTTCTACAAGAAAAGGGTGTATGTAGCTTGAACTTTATGGGTATATTAATGTGCTAGGTTGAGAAGAAGGTCGGAAAGTACATCATGAAATCCCTTTACAAAGGATGCATCTAGGGTTCCCAAGGGGATACAATTTTACCATTGTAAATCGATTTTATAGAGAAAGATCACTTTGTTTAGGCCAAGTGATTCATCTTCACTGCTTTATTAATAACATTATTAATTTGTTGTAGGTTGTGTTAGTGACATACTTTGTAATAATGTTGTGTGTTACTGTATTTATAGGAGGATGACTGGTCCGACAAGACGGTCCTCCAAGGGAGGCTGGACAGAGGAAGAGGTCAGTAATGGAAATCTTTAATGGTTCTCTTATGATTTGTCTTTAAGCCCTTATTATATAGTTGTGAATTGGGATTTTATGAATCACCTTTCTTATTAATATTTTCAGTTCAAGTATGGAACTGAAAAATAATTTCTGCAATGGATAACTTAGCTGTAATTTTGCGTATTTTATTATGGTTCTTTTGTGGATTGAATTAGCTCAGCTGCACAAAATCATGGCTAATGTCGTGCTTATAACTCTACCAAACGCTCAAGTAATTTCTTTTTCTATTACCAGGACAAAATTTTAGCTGTTGCAGTCCAAAAGTTCAATGGAAAAAACTGGAAAAAAATTGGTGAGTGTGATGTTGTCTTTTCTTGTTTATTTAATTGCCTTCTAATAAACAATTCAATGGTGATAATTTACTCAGCAATGTTCTCATAGAACTATAAAATCAGCCTGGTTTTCAGTTAATGTTTCAGAAACCAAACCAGGTTGATCAACAGTGATCCATGCTGGTTTTGTTGATTGGTATCTCAACTCCCTAGAACTGCTGATTTGTCTTTTGTTCGAGTAGTTTCTTCTCAAGTCAATCTACTTCAAGCCAATTTATGTCAAGAATTTTTCTCTCTTGAATTTTCAAAGCTGTTGATGGAATAATAATTAATGATTTTCTGCAGCTGAATGTCTTTCCGATCGAACAGATGTTCAATGCCTGCATCGCTGGCAGAAAGTTCTTAATCCGGATCTTGTTAAAGGACCTTGGACCAAGGAGGTGTGAAGTGTTGGCTGCTTCTCTCCTGAAGAAGAGGTTGTTTTAAATTTATGAAGCTTGTGACTATTTTTTATTTCTTGTTTGATGGTATCAGGAAGATGATATAATCATTGAGATGGTTGGGAAAAAAGGCAATAAGAAGTGGTCTAAAATTGCAAAATACCTGCCAGGCCGCATAGGGAAGCAATGCCGAGAAAGGTAATTAACATTTGTCAGTGCATTCAATTTTATGATGCAAGATACACATTTACTCAATTAGGTTTTAGGATATTAAACTCTTTTCTCTTTTTTGAATATTATTTTTTCCAGTCTAATTCTTAGGCGTTGGTTTACCTCGACCTTTTTTCATATTTAGTCATACATTCTTTCTTTTAAGAGAAACCAAAGCTTATAGTTGCTTGTTCAGGTGGCACAACCATCTGAATCCAGAGATAAACAAAAATGCATGGACCAAAGAGGAGGAATTGGCTCTTATTCAAGCCCATAGAATATATGGGAACAAGTGGGCTGAACTAGCTAAGTATCTACATGGAAGGTATCAGTAGAATACTACTTTTACATGAAATATAGATTACTGAATGGTAACTATTATGGGTCAATTGGCATATGTTACACAACATGATGATTGATTAATACTTGGTATTTATTTTATTTTTGGAGCGGGCTCTGATCAACTTGACAGAGTGTTCAAAAAGTTGCAAAATTTTCAAAGGAAAGTTGTCATGGACAAAGTTGTTATACTAGAGATCCCATCTCTTTCATTGGGATCATATACTTTTTTTATAAGATTGCATGTCCTCGTGGCTTAATTGGCTAGGTAACTTAATAGTATGCTCTGAATTTATGGAATTTAATTAAGGCCTATATTTTGATTAGAGGCATGGAAGGATTTTCAGAAATATTTAGACTACATCATTGTGGCTTCATCAAGGCAATTGACTTGGTTGGTTTTGGGTGCTTACACTCTCATTCACACATTAAAAGGACTCCAACTTGTTCGATTTCTACAAGGAATTGAAGTAGTTGTATTGTGATAGGCATGTTAAATCTAAAGAAGTCAAGTAGCACACATGTTCATGGTTTCTCCTTTTAGATAAAAGGAATTCATTTTTTTCTTTCTCTCTTGGACATTACCAGAACTGAAAACTCTATAAAAAATCATTGGAATTGTTCTTTGAAGAAGAAACTGTGTCAGTATTCAGCAAGTAGTGATGCTGCTTTGAGCCATCCTGGATCCTCCATTCCTGATTCATACAGTTATGAAACAGATGCCGGAAATAGAAAGTATGAAGTGGTGAAACATGAACTCGGCAGAACATTCACTCTTGACCAGAATATGGACTCTGCAATAAGTGCGCACTCTTGTTTTCCAAATTTGCTTCTTGGAAATGCTAAAGAAAGGAAAAATCGTCTACAACCACCGTTTGAATCATGCAGACTGACTGGTGAACAATTGCAGGATGGGACTAATAAGGTTGAGACTTCCGGAGACCCACACCATATTGTTGCAAACAAATATGTTTCTCCTTGTGAGATGGTTCTTCCTGTCACTGCTAAGAATCTTGAGCTTTCGAAAGGAGCACATGGCAATATATCTTCCATGAATTGCTTGGGTATGGGACATTCTAGTTTTAGTGGCCAGTCCAACAATTCTCATTCACTCAGGCCGATATATGGAGCTAACGAGAAAAGTAATGATCCTAAAACACCTTTAAGTTCAGCAGATAATTTTTTTGGTGGTTTATGTTATGAGCCACTTCAAGAGGAGGATCTGAACATTCTTCTTGTAACTGGTAAATTTCCTAGTACTGATAGCTATATTCGACTGCCATTAAGCCCAGTTTCCCTTTACATTCCAACAAGCCATGAGAAAGGCATGTCTGTTGATTATAGCAGTCCAGAATCCATTTTGAGAAGTGCAGCAATGAGTTTTAAAAGCATGCCGTCTATTATAGGAAAGCGCCGGCTTCAAACTTCCAGACAAGTCGGCAATGTAAATCACAGTGATTGTGCTTGTACTATAGAAGAAAATACTGATACTCTCAACAATAGGCAGCAGTCTATACATGAATGTCCGTGTGTCAAAGATGATCTTAATAGTGTGGTTCTTCCAAATGCAAAGCAGCCTTTCCATTCTCCTCCCAAGTCTCAGAAGCTGGAAAGTTCTGCCGCTATAAAATCTGTTGAAAAACGCTTGGAATTTGCATCTGATGGCGTGCAGGATTCTACTAATATTGAATTGAATATATCAGCTGAAGGTGACCTCTAGTGCCAATTATGATTCGATCGGCATAACCATTACTTCTAGCTCTGGAGTCTGATGAAAAAAGGTTGTCTTCAAAAATATATGCTGCTTATTCTGCATAAAGCTTTTAATGCCAACTTGAATCCGGTGAGTGTTTTCTATTTATATTACGTTTTGGTTCTTGTCCTTATTGAATACTCATTTAAATATATGAAAACTTCAACAAATATTAATGAGGAGTACTTGAGTGCCTTCTTATTCTATTGGTCATATAATAGATTTGATGTATTTTGGATGACACATACCAAAAATTTATAGAGCAAGAAGCATGATTGATAAGAGATAATAACAATCCTCTGCTGATATTTACTCTTGCCTTGACCTGCATTTAGTTATGCCTCTGTTTTTTTATTAATGCCTTTTTTTTTTTTGGCTATGAATTTTAGATGATTTCGTCTCTGTTTGGAATGTAACTGAACTTTTTTCAAGTATTTTGATGTCATAAAACTCAATAATAATGGTTATTCCATGCTATTTAATTTAAACTAGTTGACATTATTAATTATTCACCGTGTTGTTTGGATGATTCTTCCATGTAGTGTAGGGAAGGTTGGAGCTACTTAGATGACAATTAAGTTTAAAAAGGTAAATCATTGTGAATTTCACAGGTGGGAATAGAGCGGGGGGGGGGGGGGGGGGGGGGGGCTACCAGGTATTTATTATCTGATGGGCTATATGTAGTAATTTCATTGAATTGTGAATGTCCATGCATGGGGGCAAGTTGCTGCATAGAATTCAAGGACCTTATGATTTTTTGTTCACACTACTGATACAGAAAAGATTTTGGTTTTACTTTTATCAATATCACGACTGTGGGAAGATCTTTGGTTCATTAGTTAGGTCCTTTTGTGAGGGAACTTGGTGATAATATTATGTGTCACACATGCTATTGCATAAAGAGACGGCAAAAAGATTCCAAAATATTTTCACCCACTCTATTCAATAATGGCGAGGAGATGGATTTTTTCAGAATCCTTGGTGATGTTTCCTCCTGAATGTGTTTTAGGTATGCTGGTTAACATTTAAGCATCTGCATAATGTGAGCCTGTACCATGTGGCAGAAGGAGAGCAGTGGTAGCCTGCCCAAACACTTTTTTTTTTTTTAATAGTTTATTTTCTTTTCTTTTTTTTCCTTTTTTCTTTTTAGTAGGTAGCGGCTTCTAACACCATTTTATTGATTATTTTAGGACCAATTGCAAATTTTTTTTTTAGAACAGAAACCCTAAAACATGAATTTAAAAACTTTGATCTTTTGTGTTCAGTCAACTCATCAATGCATTCGCCCTAACTCTCCATTTCTCTTTTTTTTGCAGGTAAATAATTATGTTTGATACTTGTACAATGATATAATGCTTGATGGAGTGGATTGGCAGGACAAAATAGACGCAGTCAACCCTGAAATGGAGAATCAAGGCTTCCATGATGAAAGGAGTCGATGCTAACATATTAAGCATAGTCATCCATAATTACAGGAAAGATTATAGGGAAACTTTTTAGGCTCATCTTAGATGAAAACTTCGATTTTTTGGAATTTTTTGTTCATAATAATATATTTTCATTTGATGGGTGACAAGTGTTCCCTTTGTTATGCTTACAAACAGATTTTCCAGCAACAAATCGTTGATTGAATTGAATAATATAAGTGAAAAATTCTCTGACTTTGCTTCTCTTTTTTTGGTTCATGCATTACAAATTTGTAGTTCTGTATTACCAGGTGTGGCCATATATTAGATGTTGCAATGAGTCAGAGTAGAAACAGAGCGGTAGAGAAAGCGTGAAAGCTAACAGTTGCTCTAGCATACTTGATCTCTGAAGCATTTCCTGCTTTTACGCCCACTCCCATTGTTCTGAACCCCCTTTCGAGCAAATGATGAGGTGATGGAGAATGGGAAAATCAGATCAGTGAACCTCAGGGATGACAGGCTACAGTGTTTGAACAAATTCAGGGAGATCTTGATGCAAGTTGTAAAATGGCAAGGCTGTTTGATTTGTTTTCTGATAATTGTTTTTTGTTTTTACAGAAACAGTTTAAATGTTAGTTTGGTTGACATCTTTTTAAAAACTCTCTTCATAAACTAAGTCAAGGGACATTTATTTTTTATTTATGCTTTTCGATAGGAAGGAAGAAAATTATAAGGCATGGAGAGAAGAAAGGCTGGATGAAGCAGTCACACTCTACTTTTTGTTTGGTTCAATGGTGAGAAAGGAATGAGCTAACACTTTATTTTGTTTGTTAAACGAGAAAGTAAGAGAGATTGCTAATATTTAATTTATAATAATTATGAAGGGTCATATAGTAATTTATTATAAGAGTGTTACTTCTCTTTCAACCATATTTGGGTCTTGTTTGGGGGAGCTTTTAGTTTTTAAAATTCCTTCTACTGGATCGACTGTGGAGAATGCATTTTTATGAAAGGAATTTAAAACAAAAAAATTGTTTGGTGAATAAATTTTTTCAACTTATTTTAATTACCAACATGATTTAAGTTGACAATTATATTCTTAATAATCCATGAATAATAGCATAGAGTTGAATTGAGATGTACAAAGACGAAAAAAAAAAAATAATAAAAATAAATAAATAAATAAAAAACATAATTAAAGTGATGGAGTGAAATTGCCTATGTTGCAGCAACAATTAATTAACATAGTAATGATCAAGGTATATAAATTTACCCAATCTACATGATAGAAGTTTTTTTTTTTTCCTTAATAGAAGTTGAAATAGATCATGGAAAAAGAAAAAGAAAAGGAAAGAAAAATAAAATGAAACATAGAGATGGCAACAAAAATATCCAATTTTTGTTCTTATTTATAGCCATAAATTACTTTAACAGTGGAACGGTAGCCTTCAAAAAAAATATTTTACACATATATAAAGAAAAGTTATTTAGAATTCTATATGGGCTTGAATTTTGGATGAGAGTTCATAAATCTTGGAACTCTTCAGACTTTGAAGTGAAATGGGAGTCAATAGTAGTTTTTTTGCAACTCCTCAATGTCTTTATTTTTCTTTTGTTGAATCGTTTTTCAACAATATTTTTTTTAATAAAGATTTGTGAAATTTTGAACACGTTTTTAAATTTTTTTTTTTTTTTTAAATTTTTGGGTAGAGAACTAATGAATAAGATGATATAGAAAGAGAAAGTTTGCAGTGAAAATAGGTTAAATAATGGACAATATAAAAAGTTTATATTTATTATTTAAAAAAATGTGTAGCTTGGGAAAGTTGATCAGAAAACATGTTTTATTGACTTTGGTTAATCGGGCTTCTAAACCACCTAGACTTTTTAAAAGTCCTTTTTCAGACATTTTACCAAATGGCTTTTTATTATTAACAAATGACTTTCTAAGCTTAGAATCCCGTTTTGAAACTACAAAAAGTCCAACCAAACTAAAGTGGTAGCTTATTTATAACCTTCTTTCTTCCTTTTTTTTGTCTCTCTCTACTAAACCAATGAAAATTATTTCTTCATTCTTATTTATAATTTTTTTTTTTATAAATAATAAAAAAAAATATATTTATTAGTTCAAAGAATTGAATCAATTTTTTTGTTAGTTCTTTTAATTTCTAGAATTTTCAAATGATTTTAAATATGGGATTTTTATTTTTTCACGGCGAAGAGGCAGAAACTATGTGGTCAATTTGACCAATCTGAAACTTGGAATTGAATCCTGCTAGTTTATACCAATTTGAATTGTCAAATCGAAATTTCATGCAGATTAAATGTATTTGATATTGAGTTTGAGAGATGTGTTATGACTTGAATTTTCATCGTGAAAAGCATGACAACACGCCAGTCTTGAATTTCTCTATTCTCACACGTTCTTTATTTAGAAACAACCCATCTCTTTCTCTATCCTTTCCCTCCCAACTTCCTTCAAAATCCTTATATATATATATACCCATAAACAACTAGAATTTTAGTCTCAAGTTCTGAACTATTCAATCTACAAAACCTTGGCACATTATCCACTACTGTGTAAATATTATCCGCTCTGCATAGTCCGGTAACAATACGTGCATACATAGTTTTGCTAATGGCAACAAAATCATGTTCACGAACTTTAGAAGTCACAATCATCTCCGGCGAAGGCCTACTTGTGACCCAAAGCCGTCCGGTCAAGAAAAATGCTTTCGTTATCGTCCGAACGGACTCCGTTGACACCCAAATGACCAAGCTTGATACAGAAGGTGAAAGCAATCCTGCATGGAATGAAAAGCTGGTCGTGGACATGCCTATTCATGCCCGGTTCCTGACGGTGGAGGTGCAATGCAAGACTTCTTCCGGGAACAGAGTTATTGGGACGGCCAGAGTTCCGGTGTCGGACTTCACCGGAGGTTATACGCCGGAGAACTACTTGCATTTCTTGAGTTACAGGTTGAGGGATGGTAATGGAGAGAGAAATGGGATCATTAATCTTTCGGTGAGAGCGAAGGTGCCTGAAAATGCTTCGTCTTATGCAACTTTTTACTCGCAGCCGGGGTTGAAAGTTTCGGCGGATGAGGGTGTTTCCGGTGGGATTGTCACCGGCGTTCCGGTTTGGTATGGGTACCAACGGTGATGGATTTAACAGTTTTTATTGCCTGTGAACCATTAATTAAATTATAAAGATGTGGAAATGTGTTGTAAAAATTGATAGTTAAATTATTACTACTAAAACTAGTACCTTCTAAAATAGAAAGGTTGAAAATTAGAGTTTATTTGGAGAAAAAAAACTGAGTGTGTTTTAGTTGTATAAAACGGACAACTCAAAATTTTCTATGTATGTGTGCGTGTGTGTGTGTATTCACAATGTGTGACAATTGTAAATAACTCTATTATAAAAACAGGGGTGTAAAAAAAATAATTGGAACTAATAATCAGATGAAACACTATTTTTACATTTTGTGAGATAATGGTAGTATTCCAAATTTAAAATTTAAAAAAAATAATAATAAATCTCACTTTTGCCTCCCTCACACAATATCTTAGTTCGCTCCTACATATTTAATTTGTCCAGAAAAAATAATAATGCACTAGTTGTGTTGACAGTCGAAGAAATTACAAATTATATAAGCTGAAGAGACCCAAAAAAACGCTTAGCTTTAGAGCTGCATTCAAACATTATTAATTGTGACAAAATATTGTCTCAAATTTTGTTGTTTGATCTGAAAGTCAGACTTGTATTTTTTCAGTCTCTTTTGATTGGTGGATTGAGTTTGAGTTTAACATATATAAAGTTAAATAATTGAGGTATATTTAATATTTTTCTCCTCTAATATGGAATGAATATCCTTCTTGTTTGGCTTAGCATTTTTTGTTGTTAACTTTGATAACAAATTAAATTCAAAATATGACTGAAATATTAGAAGAGATCTCAACAAGAATTTATATATATATATATATATATCACGGACCGAATTAGGAAGTTATCGAATTCAATTTATGTGAGTTGAGTAATGGACTCGACGTCATGTGATAGGATTTACTATTCATCTCGCATCAAATGAATTACGTAACTATTGAATTTGATTTCTAAATTACTACTCAAGATGAAAATGTTCTCTACTTGGACTCATATTACACTTTATTTTATATATATATATTTATGTTTTCAGCAAACTAAACCAATTTGACCATATTTACCAAACCAAACCAATATGTTGTTTGTTTCGACATAAAGTAAAATATTTTACTTTTTCAGGTAAAAAAATATATTTTTATTTTATTTTTTGTAAAGATTTATGTGAAGGTTGAAGTCAAGTTTATTAGGCGGTCGTATAAAATAACTTATCAAAAATTGATGAGTAAACTATTTTTATTATATTTTAATATTTTTTTTCTTCTTAAATATTTTCTGACAGACAACCAATGAACCAAACATCAAAAAAAAATAAAAAACTATTTTCTAAAAACAATTTTACATCCCAAAAAAAAATGGCGCTTGGAATATGTAAAATCAAAAGTAGGAGAAGTCTATACCACCCTATAGTGCGATGACGATAACTGCGCCTAATGTGAAGGAAGGGTCCCTCACTTAGTCCGACTTCCGGACGAAAAAACAGGCGCTGCAGAGCACTCCGTTTATATATATATATATATATAATAAAATTTTAAAATTTGGTGTTTATATTACAATAATTTTAAAATTTGGTGTTTATATTACAATAAAAGTCTGTACATACATACATATATATATAATACAAAATAAGAGCATTTTTTAATTGTCATTAACTTCAAAACAAAAGAGGAAAAAAAAAGAAAAGAAAATTGAACATGTTTGTTATGAAAAATGGACTAGCCACTATAAATATTTTGGTCACCATAATTATTGAGTTGTTAGATAATGATGCATCAAAGGATTCTGATTCCATTCCTTATGTTTCTGTACAGTGAATGAAGTGGGAGAGGAATAGGACTTTTGGTGAGAGAAAATCTTTCTTGTTATTTTCTTTTTCACTTAATTTAAGACGTTGTTGGGCACTTTACCTTTTAGTACCGTTGACAAAATTTTATTTTATATTTTTACATCCAAATAAAAGTATAGTTAAAAAAATATCAAGGAAGAGGAATTTGGTAAATTTATCATAATTTGACGTGAATTTTATTCTTGGAAAGGACTAAGCCAAATAATTAAGTCAAATAATAAGATAGGGGTTATTTATTTTTAGGAAGAATTAATGGGAGAAATAAAAAAATATGTATCTCCCAAACAAATCAACCTTGCAAATTATTTTGTTTTGTCTATTTCTCATCTCAATATAGGGTTAGTTGTGACTTATGTGTCTTGTTCATCTCTCAATTTAGGATTAGTTTTTTTATCTTTGCACATGAGTTTTATATATATATATAGAGAGAGAGAGAGAGAGAGACTTGATCTCTTGTTCCTTATGGAGCAAGAAAATTAATTCACAATTTTTATATAGACTGTTAAATTAAATCTAACAGTCATTTTTCAAACCCACCTACGATATTTGTTTTTAACACAAACCACTCTCACCCTATTTTTAGTTTCTATATTTAATTTTACCATTATCACATATTAACAATAAAAGGTAATTATCAAAATAAAAATAGAAACCTTTGAAAAAAAATAATAACAATATCCTTTACTTAAAAAATTGTTTTTATTTAGATATTTCTTTGAAAGAAAAACAATACTCGTATCTTTCAATTTTGCAACAACAGTATGATATTATAGTCTTTTTCCTAAAAAAATCTTATTTTTCTCCTTATAAGTAAATTAATATACTTCTCTAGTATAAGTAAATTTACCAACAAATATAATGTAATATTACATTTTGGAATATCGAATTGATTTATTGGACTTGAAATTGAACAAAAATTCATTCTATTTCAAACAAAAATTCTTTCTATTTCAATTTGAAGTTGGGCATTTGGTGAAATTCATTATTGAATCTGTGAATTTGAGAGTTTGATTGTTGGATAATGATGATGTACTGACTGTGGTGGGACTGTAGAATCATCCTAAAAAACAACAAGGTAACCCAAAAAAAATAGGTGAAACTCTTCTCACAACCTTGGATTCAAATTCAACGCACGAAGAAATGGAAAAAGAGTTGATAATTACCTTTATTGTTAAGTGGTAATGGTAAAATTAAATATAAAAACTAAAAATAGGGTGAGAGTGGTTTTGTGTTAAAAGGAAAGGTCAAATGTGAGTTTGAAAAATGATCATTAGATTTAAACTAACGGTCTATATAGAAAGTGTGATTAATTTTCTTGCTACGTGGAGAGTAAGAGATCAGGACTCTATATACATACACATACATATATGACTACTATATATATATATATATAGATACATATATGAGTACTGATCTCTTACTCCTTATAAAACAAGAAAATTCTTCCGTATCTTTTATAGTGACATTCTAAACCCACCTATATGCTTTCCTTTTAATACAAAACTACCATCACTGTTTTCAAATTTAATATTTATCAATACCATTAATTATAACAATAAAAGGTAAGTACAAAAATATATATATAAATAGATATCTCTTCACCTCTCGAAATCACGTCTTACAACTAATCGGAATTTTGTTTTCTTTAAATAAAAAAAAAAATTGAAGTGTTAGAGAATTGCATCCAAGACTTGATACTAAAGTTGACGTTGCCTATTTGTTTGAGTGTGAAAAATAAATTAAAAACTACAGTATTGATATACAAAACATCGACTAAAAAATAAAAATTAAAAATAAAATCTCTATTTTTTTATCCACTTGATTAACTTAAGGTAATTGGTGATTTGTACAACACTTCTCTCATAAAAAATTTAATAGATTACAATTTAAACTATTGTATACCTCCCTAAATGCATGCTATTTAAAAATTAAAAATTCAATCTAGCTTTCTCTAACCCTTTGTCACAAATTGTTTCATACTTTTTGTTAAATTTGTTTTATTTTATTCCAGATTCTAACGAGTTGTAAACACATTCCAATTACTCATATGTCATAATAAATCACACAAAATCTTTTTTCTAGTTCTACTATAATAACAAAAATTTATTGATGTAGTGAGGAGATTCACGACAAAAAATTATATTATTCTATGAAATTTCATATTTCCCTTGTAAATTAGTTATTTTTCTTAATGTTTTCTTTAATACTCCTATTATTATATTATTAAAGACATCAAACAAAACAAAAATTCCGATTAGTGATGGTGAAACGTTCCAGAGATAAACCTATTTGTATTTTTATTTGTTTGGTACTTACCTTTTATTGTTGTAATTAATGGTATTGATAAATTTTAGGGTAATTTACACAGACCTCCCCTATGATTTGCCATAATTACAGGCAGCACCCTTTCTGTTCCGAAAATTACGCAAACATCACATACTTCTGAAAATATCCTACACAGACTTCCCTTCTGTTAGAGTCAACGGCAACGACAGAAAATGATGACATCAGCTACTATTTTATTCATGAAATGCCGAAAATACCCTCGCCTATATTATATATACTTGATATTATATATTAGATGCCGATATCATGTACTAATTAACTGAAATTTCCAAAATACCCTCATATTCTCCATTACGTGTCTGTACCTCGGTGTTTTGATTTCTGTAAGTTGTATTCCTCATTCCTCATTATAAGCTTGTGTGTGTGTGTGTGTGTATATTTAAATTATGTATAAAACCGCCAGAGGATGCCTGCCATTAGATTGAAACCAATGAAATCCACTGATGCTCTGTGCTTTCGAATTGGGTCTCTAAAATTGTTGCTCGATCTCACCGGATTGAAACGTGCCCAAACTGAAACTTGTGAAGCTTTTCACCGAACTGAAATTCTTTGTTGCTGCAGTACTTTTCTGATCACTTGCTGAACTGAAATCAACTTTAGTCTTCTCAATTTAACCCAACGTTGTCTGACGGTGAAGTTATTATAGACCAAATGCTTTCTTCGCTCTCTTCCTGTTCTTGGTCGGATGAACAAAGGCTGTTGAATCTAGATAATGCACAATCAAAATTGACTAACATATTACATATCAAGGAACTGGCAAGACAGCTCAAGGTAGAGAGCATTTCCCTTTTTCTTCTTTTCAATCCAAGTTCATATTTAGTCAAAATTAAGTATATAATTCCAGATAGCTAGAAAACCATGCCAACAACTTACTGAATAAAAACAAGAAGCAAGTTGAAGATATGAATTCATATTCCAAGCTTTCGAGGAGTGTTTCTCTGTGAAGAATGCAACTATTGCTGATTGTATTGTTGCCATAAAACACATCCAAGCTGATAAGGATAGGTGGTCAGGATAGCTTGCTGAAACTGGGACCTGCACGTTTCAAATTAATTAAGTTGTAATCCAATTAATATTCAGATATCAAAATTATATTCAAATATATATAATGGAAGAGAATATATATATATATATATATATATATATATATATATATACCTGCAAAATTAGCCAAATTGACCAACAACAACTGCTTCCGAAGAGAAATAGACAACCCAGCAACCAATTATCACCACCTCCAGACCCAAAAATAGATGTTGTAATTGGTAGGATTAATTGTGTGTTCAGTAGCTTTGGCCCTTTGAGCAATGCCATGAAAATGGCTCCACTCACACACAACACTGTCCCTATAATCTTTGCAATGCTTCTCAACCTTCGGATATTTACCTTCTCTAATCTGTACAAGTCATAGATTAGAAAAACTGGTTAAATTAATGTTTAGATACAAACTTTTTTTTTTTTTGAAGACCACTTTTAATAATGAAAGCAATGAAGTGAAAATGGTAAAGAGATAAGTTAAACAATTCTCGTATATTTATCAAGAAATAAGATATTAAATTCAAGATTCTTGTTAAAACTGATCATAGATGGAGCTAGCTTGTTAGAAAATTCTGGCGGATTCTTGTTAATTAAATTCAAGAGAAGTAGTCTTCACAGAAGTTCATGAATTTATATACTCCAAACGGAAGTAGTCATCACAAGCTGTATTGAATGGTAATTAAGACAAATCCCTATGGTGCCTATCAATGCAGTGCACCCTGGAGTTGTGAAGACTGGTATTATCAGAGATCACAAAGGCCTTATCACAGGCATGCATATTATATATATATATATATAACTTGGGACCTATCGCCGATCTGTCCCAAATTATCGGATGAACAGAGGCTGTTGAATCCAGATAATGGTCAACACCGTCAGTTTTAATTTGATGAATTGACTTTGTTGGCTTCGAAGCTCCAGCAATACCAGATCAGCGGCGGGGTAGCGAATTCACAGGCTGCCAATTCGTTGTTACTCCACTCTAGAATCGTTTCCGGTAGCGAGGGTGGATTGAGGTCGCCAGCGTGATCTTCCAGCACCGGTGATTCGGCTTTCTATGGAGAGCTCTCACCTTTGCCTCTGTTGAGTAAGAAAAATATTGAAGCTGATTCCCGCGCTTGACAGCAAAGAAGGGGATTCGGTGAAAAATGATTTATTGCAATCTAGGGCTTCAGTCGGTTGGATCATCACTTCTCCATTTTTCTGTCTGGTTTTCGGCCAACATCAATTTCATTTATATATATATATATATATATATATATATATATACACACACACACACGGGTATTTAAGTCATTTATCATTGAAAGTTCAGGGTATTTCAGTAATTTTGACAGGTCCGTGTATTTAACGGTCCGTCACACATAAGGGAGATCCGTGTAGGATATTTTCAAAAGTAGGAAAGGTCCACTTAATTTCTGAAACAGGAAGGGTGTCGCCTGTAATTATAGCAAACCATAGAGAAGATTTGTGTAAATTACCCTAAATTTTAAATTTAGAAACTAAAAATTGTGATAGTAATTTTATATCAGAAAGAAAGTATATAGGTGAATTTAAAATTTGACCCTTAGATTTAATCTAACGGTCACTGTAGAAAGTGCAAAAGAGTTAGAGAGAGAGAGAGAGAGAAAGGAGGGGGGGCGGGGGGGGCGAAATTTAATTAGAAAGTTGGATGAATTAAAAATTCAAAACAAATTCGTAATAAACTATAAATTAGTTTTGATATTAATTTTTTACATATTCTCTTACATGTTTACAAGATGTGTGTGTACTTTATTATTCAATATAAAATGGGATTAAAAAGATGTAGATAAAGTATTTAAAAACAGAACTCATATATATAATATTCTTGTGTGTGTGTGTGTGTGTGTGTTTTCAATATAAAATGGGATTAAAAAGATGTGTGTGTGTGTTGTGTGTGTTTGTGTTCAATATAAAATGGGATTAAAAAGATGTGTGTGTGTGTGTGTGTGTGTGTGGGGCTAAAGAAAAAAATTAGGGGGAATATGAGAAAACCAAGATAATAAAAATAACTAAAAATGCATATTTATGGGAAATATGCATTTTCGTGACATGTAGCACTGCTCTTAGTTAAAAGACATTAATGCTCTCTATTTTGACTCATATTACACTTTATTTCTTATGTATTTGTGTTTATTGGTGAGAGAATAATTAGTGTAATGGGAGGATTTAGCATATCATATTAAATTATTAATCATTAATCCCGTAAAGAAACGTTAATCAAGGGTTGTGTGGTATCTCAAATCATAAAAGGTCATGTAATTTAGCTAATTTTAGATGGTTTGAAAATATACATTTAAATTATTGAGGGATAATCAAATAAGAAAAATTAGCTGTAATAGAAAGTACGAGGAGAATGATTAAAAATATTATGTGAAGAGGTTATTAAAAGTAATTTTAAAAAATTAAATATAGTAGATTGATTGACATAGTAGGTCTTTGTTTCGATATAAAATATTTTTCTTGAAAAATATGTATATTATTTTAATTTTTGGTGTTTAACAAAGATTTAGGTAGAAATTGAAATCAAGTCCATTAGACTGAGCATGTAAAATAATTTGTCGAAAATTAATGAATAAGTTAATTTTATTGTATTTTAATATTTTTTCTTCATAAATATTTTATGGCAATCCAAATACCAAAAAAATAAAAATAAAAAATGTATTTTTTGAAAATAGTTTTACATGGAGCTTGACAGTGAATGTGTGTTACCAAAAGCCCAACAGGTTAGTAGAATTATTATACTCCCTCTGTCCTAAAAAAGATGTCCTGTTTAGAAAACTGTGACTTACAATTTTTCAAATAGAACAACTAATTTAGGTCGGAGATAATTTGTATTATCAAAAGTAAGATAAATTTCAAAAAGCTTGGGTGGCATAAGGATAGGGGTTTCAGAATCACTTTGGTACCTTTAAAGCCCAGGCTCGAATCCTTGGGTGTACACAACCCTCTAGTGCGATGACGATAACTGCGCCTATTGTGAAGGAAGGGTCCTTCACTTTGTCTGATTTTCGGACAAAAAAACCAGGCGCCTTAGAGCATTCCTTTTTTAAAAAAAATCATCGCCTCGGAGAACTCCTTTTTTTAAATAAAAAAAAAAAAAGAAAAAAAAAAAAAGAAGAAGAAAGAAAGAAAGAAAGAACTAGCCACCATAAATATTTTGGTCACATAGGGATGGCAATGGGGCGGGGCGGGGCGGGGTGAGGCGGGGATATCATTTCTCATTCTCATCTCCGGTCAAATTTTTTACCTACATCCCTGCCCCCATACCCGTTTAATTTTCAACCCCCTCTCCCATCCCTGCCCCACTCCGCCGCGCCACAATAGCCCCCTTCCCGCTCCGCATAACATTTTTTAAATTCCAATTCACCTTCAACAAAATCAACACAGCCATAATATTTTTCAATCTAATAATTTAATAAAGCTTCAACACAATTATAACAATTTAAAACATAATCAGATGTTTGATGCACAACAACTATATTTTTTCTCTATGCTGCGAGAGAATAGATCTAGGGTTTCACTTTCAGAAGTGAATATATTACATATATAGTTATATAATTTAATAATATTTTATAACATGTAAGGGCAATTTTATAAAAATACACTATAAACGGGGCAGGGTTCCCACCCCATCCCTCGTCGGGGTTTCAAATACAGTCCACATCCCCTCCCCATTTACATAAATGGGTCCCCAAACCCGACATAAACAGGGCAGGGTGGGGCGGAGATCCACCGAGTATGGAAATTTTTCCATCCCTAGTCACAATGCCATTGGATCCGCTTTAATCACCGGATTGCAAGTTCAAGGCTAAACATATGCTATCTCCGTCCCATATTAATTGTCCACTTCAAAAAATTTAACTCACAATTTTAGAATATAGGTGTTGATGATAGTTAGTGATGATATGAGGAGATCATTCCACGTCTGTCGGGGGTGCTGAGATCTGAGGCTGAATGGAGCTCCAAGCTATCACAAGGGATTCTCCATAAAAGAGATTAAGAGGGAGAAGGCAGATTTGTTTAACACCCTATGGTAGCTCGAGCTCTAGAAGACCATTCTTTATGGTTATGGTTGTGCCTTTGTATTTTTCCACCCCACTAAATGGTGAGAGTTAAGCCCTATTTATACTACTTTCATTTGGGTAAAGACCCTTGGTTATGAGAGCTAACTCTCTCTTTATCCAGTGATCACTCTGCCTAGGTAAGGACCCCTGGTTACAATGGTAGCTCTTTCTTTATCCAATGGTCATTCTGTGAGATATATATTTAATACATATTATGTGGTCTTTATTACTCGAGCTCAGCTATTGGGTATTAAATATTCTCTCCTCCTTGTGTAGACCTCGAAGTGAGGCGATTCCTTAGAACTCAGCCACCTAACCATTGATACTCAGATTCCCGCAATCGAAGATAGGGAAAGAGCCTCCCTCGGGGTTCCGCCTTCTCGGCCCCGCGAGCTCTATCCTATACTGCGCCTCGAGGTCCCTACAGTTAAAAGGGAGCTCGAGAAGAGAAAAATGCCCTAGGTTATGCTTGCAGGAAGCAACCTCGGAAAGAAAGGGAAGAAGAGTAGCGAGCTTCGGACGAGCGCTCGGCACTGATAATTGCCGGGTAAGCGCTCGATGCTTCGGACGAGTGCTCGGCACTGATGATTGCCGGACGAACGCTTAGTCCCTTCAGGGGCAGAGGCATGCCAAATAAGTATTGACCAGGTGCGCCTATTTTCAGAGGTGACGCCACTTGGACAACTAGCGTAGCACGATTATCAACATTTTGCCCCCCTGCTCGAGGTCGCGATGAAGGAGCTCGAGCAAAAGACTGAGGGGAGCTTAATAGAAAAGTCAGCTTCATAAATGTGAGCTAACCTAGCTCTGCGTCTCGAGGTCTTCACAGTTAAAGAGAGCTCTCTCGAAAAAAAAAACCCGAGGTTACGCCTGCAGGAAGTAACATCGGAAAAGAGGGGAGGAGGGGCCCATCCGAATGGAGCGGGACGCGTCCACAGGGGAGGAAGGGTAGCGACCCCTTCCTTGGCCAGTAAGTTCAATTATAGGACGAGTAGCTCGAGGATACTTAGTCCTTTCAGGAGCACGCCAGATAAGAACTGGCCAGGTGTGCTTCTTTTTCAGAGATGGTGTCACTCCAGCAAACGTCGTGGCACGTATATCAACAATCAACATTTTTCAGGAGCACGCCAGATAAGTACTGACCAGGTGTACTTATTTTAAGAGATGGTGCCACTCCAGTAAACGTCGTGGCACGTATATCAACAATCAACATTTTGAGCACGCCAGATAAGTGCTGGCCAGGTACGCTTATTTTCAGAGATGGCGCCACTTGGATAGCTAGCATGGTGTGATTATCAACATTTTACCCCCTGCTCGAGGTCGCGAGGAGGGAGCTCGAGCAAAAGACTGGAAGTAAAAGGAAAATATTCGTAGAAAGGATCTCAGACAACTTATTGAGGTTTATCCGTAGAGAGGAACTCCTCATTCTTTTTCTTTTTCTTTTTCTTTTTAGCCAGAACCGAGACTTATCAGTACTCAGTTATCAATTATTATTTATATACATAAATAGGTGCACCCCATGGAGACCGAGACTTATCAGTGCTCAGTTATCAATTATTATTTATATACATAAATAGGTGCACCCCATGGAGACTTATGTGTGTTTAAAGTTCCCTCTTGATAGCGTGGGGATCCCATGGAGTTTCAGCCTTTGTTATAGAAATGTGCACCCCAAGTCAATGTACTAAGTACATTTTATCCAAGTTGAGATATTCCTCGCACAACAAAATCATATTGTTAGAAAACAGGTTGTAATAGAATGTAATAATTAATAAAATAATTCTATCTTGATTCCAATTCAGGCTATGTGGTGTAATTTGCATCGCCTAGTAAAGTCATGAAATAGTGCGAGATGCAATTTTTTATAACAGTAATGGTAACTAGAATGTGTGTATATATATATATATATATATATAAACAAAATGAATTGATAATTGTACCTCTTAATTTCAACTCAACAGTGAAGAGATCGATTTATCAAGGATAAAAGCATTATGATATAATAATAGAAATATGACATAACGAACAACTACAACACCAGTAGTAGTAATAATAATAATAATAATAATAATAATAATAAAAATAATAAAAGAAAAAAAAAAAAAAAAAAAAAAACCTATCAGTTAGTCGAAATAAATAAAATAAAAGGGATTGAGTATAAATATTGAGACGCATTAGATATGCCGTGCAATGCTGACCCAAGGTAGGGAAGTTGTGAGAGATGTTGTCCTAAGATGCAGAGGCATCGAGAGAGAAGGTGTCGCTTTGAAGTTGCATTCGAGTTATAAGGCGTACTCGAGTGAGAGATGTATTTTAAGAGGTGCATGCTAGTCCTGATCAAACTTTGGCAAAAAATGTTGATGGTGAAGATCGAGCGTGGAAAAGGAAAACAAGGGTAATCAAACACCCTACTCGAAGGAAAAATTTTGATCTCTTAATAATAAAATAATAATAATTTTTTTTAACAAGTCCCTCGAGGAGATACATAAATAAATATATATATATATATATATATATATATATATATATATATAGTCTAAGACAATACAAAATATGACTTACTCCCCTGACCCCTGTCTGGTAGAAGTCGTTGTGCCAAAAAAGATAAAATTATCCTAAGAGAAAATGAAAGTACGCAAGCTAAATGAGGGGAGCCCATTAAAGAGGTCAACTTTTGTGGAAGTGAGCTTAGGGGGAGGAAGCTTATCAGAAGATTAAATTTGTGAACCTCATGGAGGGGATCACTCTTTAGATAACCCCGAAGTTGTGGCAAGGAATTGAAATTTGTAATAAATGATTGCACTGAGGAACCCTAAGATTTGGAAATTTTGAGCATGAAGGACCCAGGACCGAGAACAAAGAGAGCATAGCACGAGGCATGACTCTAATTCGCGAAGTGTTACATAGAAGGTTCCAAGTTTAAGTGACCAAAAAAAAAAAAAAAGGTTGATAGTGAGTGACTAGATGTAACAAGGGTCATTTTGTCCCATATCGGAATCGGATGGGAAAGAGATTGGGTATAAATGGGTGGGTATGCAACCTTACCTAATAGTTCGAGCTTTTGGGTAAATGGGCAAGCGCCCACCCGTTACAGTTGGTATCAGAGCCAGACCCAATCCTTGATCCGGTGCCACGCCAGGCGCCTGGCCCGGAAGGCGTCCGGGTGTGCCACCCCGGGTAGGCAGAGTGGCCCGACCGCAACGAGGGCGTTATGAGTTCGGGTGGGGGAGAATGTAACAAGGGTCATTTTGTCCCACATCGGAATCGGATGGGAAAGAGATTGGGTATAAATGGGTGGGTATGCAGCCTTACCTAATAGTTCGAGCTTTTGGGTAAATGGGCAAGCGCCCACCCGTTACACCACTTAAAAAAATTATAACAAGGAGAGTCACCTAATATATATATATATATATATATATATATATATATATATATATATACTTAGAAAGTTAAGTAATAAATGCAATAAACCAACTCATACATAAATACGTCAATAGGGATTATAAAATTACAGTTACTCGAGCCGGTTGCTTACCAAAAGTGTTATGACGTTATTACCTGTTAATAAATTATGATACGGAGTACAATAAAACTAATGCATTGTTACGTACATAAATCAAATATTTCTTCTTGTATGTTGTGATACATATAGTAAATAGTAAAATTATGCAATTTTGTGAAAGTAAGATGTGAGTACATATAATGATCCAATGACTTCGTTGTGATTCGTTATATTATATGAATACAATGATTGCATAGAACTGTAAGTAGGATACATGTACTGATTTAATTGAATAGGGCCACTGGGGACTCGAGGATGTGTAGAAATTCATGTTTGAGAGTCCTTGCAAGTTGGTAGTCCTCAAGTTAAAGTCGAGCTACCAAGTTAGATGTGTCGAGGTATGCAACGGATGTGTTATGTATGTACTTACATATACATGCTTCGTGGCTCATAAGATGGGAAAGGAAAAAAAAACAATAATACTCTTACAAGAGTTAGCCCACAAAACCACTGTCAGTACATGCACTTTTTTTTTTTTTTTTTATGTTGTAGCAATAGGTAGACTATAGCACGTGGGTCTTCTCAATTAAGTACCATAGAAGGCTGTTCTATAGAAAGATGTTCTACTCGTTGGCTAGTAGAAAAACAGGCTACCTGGGTGCAATAATAGCACATTTTATATATATATATATAGTAGGATATATACCTTCTTTTTTTTTTTTTTTTTTTTTTTTTTTTTTTTTTTTTGGGAAGGTGCAGTAGGAAATATACTTGCATATGCAAAATATAGAGTCCAAGTCAACCATTATAGAGATGTCAGTGAAGAAAAAGGCTATTCCCTTTTGAGTTTGACAATCATGTGCTAATGCAAAATTGTGTTATACCTGTGTACATTATTATAAAAATATGCACAATTAATAATGGTGAGAAAGATGTTCTCCTCGAGGGAACCTAGTGAGAAAAATCAATTTTGCAAAGCCGATAAATTTTTGCGAAAGTGCATGAGCTCCTCGTGGTAAGCTCATTAAGAAATATTAGCTTTGCAAAGATGAGTTTATGAAAACTAGTTCATCCGAAGGGGTAATCTTCGTGAACTCATGGAAGAGAGCTTGTAGTAGTGGAATCATATAGAGTAAAGAAAATACAGAACAAAACGATGTTATAAAAAAAAACAAAATCATGCTGCTAGTGTCACCAAAAACAAGTTAATATTCCATGTCAAGTTAAAAGGTGCGTCTAAAAAGAAGGAGACGCAAACAAATAATAAGAGGTGAGTTTAGAACAAGATCACCGTAATGAAGCAATAAATTTCAAACTTTACAGGCACATCACATGCCACTTCCAACTTCAGATATACTACTCCATCAGTGGATGCTCTAACCGTAGTGATCGAAGTGAACTATATATGCACAAGAAAATATCCTAGGTACAAGGGATGGACGAGCTTGAATGCGGAGGAGATCTCGAGCGCGATGAGAGGACCATGAAGCCAAAGGACTGTGGCTATTTCAAAGGGAATATCCATATCTCAAGTGACCCAAAACAAATAAAAATCAAAATAAATAAATAAAGTTGTTTGTGGTGAGATCGTACAAAGGTGAAATTTTACATATATATATATATATATATATACTTAAAATAAATAAAAAAAAAAGTCCGTAAACGCTCCCAGGATTATTTTATGAAAGAAAAATACCACTATTTTTTTGAAACGGTGCTCCAGGAAGTGCTAGTCGCGGTGCTCGAGCAGCACGAGTTGACCAGAAATAGCACTTGAGCTACGACAAAATGTTAATCAGAAGCATTGCTCGAGCCTTTATAGGAAGAGATTTCTTTTTAGGTCAAGCAACCTCGTGCAGAGGTCTCCAGAGATTGATGGGTCGAAAGAGGGGTTAATATATAGGTGAAAGCATAAAGTGATCCAGTTCTAGTGAGGATGGACCAACATTTTAAGACTCGACTCTTGAGGGGTCTCTTGTATTTTTGATTTGTTACGACGTTTCCCGCGACAACATGGAATGCATATATAGAGAGGATAGTTGTTGAGTGCTCTGGAAAAAAGATAATCAAAAGGTTTTTTTTTTCGAAAGGCAAAAGATTACCAAAAGTTGTGATTGCTCGAAAATTCAAAGATGAAGAAGTGAAATACCGCTACCCAAAAAAATTTAAAAAATAGGTGGAGGTCGATATAGGTGGGTGGTGATGTTTGAGGGTACGAAGAGGTACAAAGCTAGTGTTTGAAAGAGTTTGACCGGCGTTCTTTAGTGTTCGAAGACATACCAATGTTGAGTTCAAAGGGAATGGGAACCTCAAAGACGAGGCAAGTTTTAGGTTAGAGTTTGGGCTCGGATTCGAAGGGAGTTGGACGACATTCTTCGAGAGTTCATAAGCATACCAAGTTCGAGTTCGAGGGAGGTCAGACGATGTTGCCCAAGAAAATGGAAGCTCACTTGGCATCGCAGGGAATTTTCAATAAGTACGATGACAGGCTTGAGCAAGAGGAAAGACTTGTGTGAGAAACTAAAGTGTGACACAAAGGGACCCGAGCGAGGGCGGGAGAAGGATAAAAAATAAATAAAATAGGGAGGACTTGCGAGTCCTCAAGTCATTGACAAGTGACAACGTTGGCAAAACTAACTATCATTTATTAGTACTTTTGTTGAAACGACTGATAACTGTGCTTAAGCCATGACAAAGTGTTGGCCCAAAGCAATCTCGAGCCAGGTGTAAAACTGCTACGAAGGACGGTGATCCTGGAACACTAGAATTTTATTGTTATTATTTAAATAGGATTATATATTGTGATAGTATCTCATCGCACTTTAGTATAGGGTATAGACTTAAAGAACATGAAGTTAGAATAAGTTTTCATAGTAAAAGTAAACAATGTCGGTGAAAAAGAGTTGAGAAGAGGTAAAGATTTGACAACTCATTAGTAATAGTAACAAAAATGATGGTGCTTTGGAGAGAGTAAACTGGGACAAGATTTGACAAAAATAAAGAAATTGAGAGTTAACTTTTATGAGCTCAAGATTGCAACGTCATCCTTTTGTAGACATACGTGACATGCACTGTTGCTGTGTAAAGTCAGGTCAATCATTATGTATATTGTGTATCTATATATATATATATATTACCAATACAGTAACAGAAAGCTTAAATTAAAAAATAAATAGAGTCAGGTGGATAAATGGTGAAAGGAAAAAAATAATAAATAAAAAATTAAATAGTTCATCAACTAGCAAAAGCTGTAGAATAATAATAAAAGAATAAAAATTTATTTTCAAAATTATTTTTATTTACTATTATATATATATTTATTAACTATATGAGTCATAACTATAAGGCTATATAAGAAACAAAGATGAGATGTGCACAATATTTGATAATATTTGATATAGCCAGCACATGAGGTATTAACTTGTTCTGATCACTTAATGGTGGAACTATATCAGCTTTTATTTTAATCACGAATATAATAATGACAGAAAAGGTACAAGATTTCATTTGAGATACTGTCAGGCAAGAATCATCTCACGAGGGAGGCATTCACCAGAAGATAGGAGTGATGGGTTAATGATAAATGTATCAGATATGATAAAAAAAAAAAAAAAAAAAAAAACAAAGGTACAGACAGAGCTCCTACACCGAGTGAAGTCAATATATATGATGAAACGCTCAAGAGCTCGAGGAACCAATCTGCCCAGAGATGAAGTAAAAGAATTTTATTTATTATTATTATTATTATTATTATTATATATATTTAATCAGATAGTGTGCCTGAAATAGTTGGTGAATCGGCATGAACAAACAATAAAATAAAAAAGCAAATGACTTTCAGAGATACAGTAGAGTACAACAGTATCATATTGTTGAATGTAAATGACATAACATGGTATATCATTATAGATGAAGTAAAAATTTTAAGACTGAGTGTGTCAGTTTGAGACTAGAGCAAGCAACAAGAAAATGAGTTAGGAGTAAAATCACCGGTCATAGAAGACTTCTTCCATATCCATAGAGGCCAATCTCTTGCAAGCTCGACATTGATGGAATGCTCCTCCCCAGTGAAGTCGCCAAAATGTTGATGATAGTTCGTGATGATATGAGGAGATCATTCCACGTCTGTCGGGGGTGCTGAGATCAGAGACTGAATGGAGCTCCAAGCTAGCACAAGGGATTCTCCATAAAAGAGATTAAGAGAGAGAAGGCATATTTGCTTAACACCCTATGGTAGCTCGAGCTCTAGAAGACCATTCTTTATGGTTATGGTTGCTTGCGCCTTCGTATTTTTCCACCCCACTAAATGGTTAGAGTTAAGCCCTATTTATACTACTTTCATTTGGGTAAAGACCCTTGGTTATGGAGCTAACTCTCTCTTTATCCAGTGGTCACTCTACCTAGGTAAGGACCACTGGTTACAATGGTAGCTCTTTCTTTATCCAATGGTCATTCTTTGAGATATATATTTAATACATATTATGTGGTCTATATTACTCGAGCTCAGCTATTGGGTATTTAATATTCTCTCCCCCTTGTGTAGACCTCGAAGTGAGACGATTCCTTAGAACTCAGCCACCTAACCACTAATACTCAGATTCCCGCAATCAAAGATAGGGAAAGAGCCTCCCCCGGGGTTCCGCCTTCTTGGCCCCGCGAGCTCTATCCTTAGATCTGCGCCTCGAGGTCCCTACAGTTAAAAGGGAGCTCGAGAAGAGAAAAATGCCCTAGGTTACACTTGCAGGAGGCAACCTCGGAAAGAAAGGGAGGAAGAGTAACGAACTTCGGACGAGCGCTCGACACTGATGATTGCCAGGTGAGCGCTCAATGCTTCAAACGAGCGCTTGGCACTGATGATTGCCGGACGAACACTTAGTCCCTTCAGGGGCAGAGGCATGCCAAATAGGTATCGGCCAGGTGCGCCTATTTTCAGAGGTGACGCCACTTGGACCGCTAGCGTGGCGCAATTATCAACAATAGGTAGTATATAAAAATATATATATATATATATATAACTAAAAATGACTCAAAAATAAAAAGCAGCATTGAATCAAAATTTTTGAAATGGACAACTAATATGGGACAAAGCCAAATCATTAGATCCTCAAATAAGAGCAGAGCGCAATTAATGGTTAACAAATCAAATTATGACCACCCCCGTGATCGAAATCGGGTCCTTTACAGGCTTATTTAAAGGCTAAATAGTTCTAAGAGTTTTTCAATGTTCCCCTATAATATCACCATCAACCACCTAAACTTGATAATAGTTTGAAAAAATACTCAAAACTTCTACAAAATCATTATGCATTCCTACTCAAGATGTTGAGAAGAAAATGTGTGTGACATATCTATGCTCCTAAACCATATTCATTCATGTATCTAATTTATTTATTTAAAAAAACAAAAACAAAAAAACAAAAAAAAAACAAAAAAACAAAAAACGGAAAAGGAAGAAGAAAAGAAAAGCTGAACTGGCTGGTCTTGCACCATCATTATAAGCATTATAGCATTTTAGCTTTCAACAAACTTAAGGCCATAGCACAAAGAAAAGTTACCATATACATTAAGAACTAGAAGATAACAAGGTCGAACAACAATTGCTACGACGCCAAGGATACACACTAAAACAACTTAATGCCCTGGAGCAGCTTCACTTTTGAGTCTTGAGCAGGAAAGGTTAACGTGCCAGCAGAATGTCCAATACGTACAATATACACGAGAAGATCCTAACTTATCGTTAAAAACTCGCATTCCTATACGTCTTCACCACTACTTTGATTTCCGTTCTTTAGTATATTGAATTTGCAGAGTGGACAGGTAGCATTGATGTATAACCACTTGTCTATGCACGTGCAGTGAAAATGATGACGACAAGGGAGTTCACGCAGTTCAATTCCATCGTCATAGCCACAAAGACATATGCAACATTCCTATAATTCACAGCAAAATTCATGTCAAGAGTGCAATTTCTTTTGTGAACATCTCTTTTGTGATGAAGTGATCTGGTATCATGTAATTAAGGCCATATAAATACCAAACAAGCTACAAATTTTTCATAAGTAATCGAAAAAATGAAAAAATAAAGCCTATCAACAATTAGGAAGTTCGGGGTATTGACAGTTATTTTTTATGACCAATCTTGCATTGAGGTCTACACTATTGCATCCTGTTATGCTGTTTCAGGAACCAATCTCCAGGTTTGGGGGTTGGATGCAAGTCATAATTATTTTGAAATTTATAAAGCAGTTATATAGAAGAATTGGATAAAGTCGTAAGAATGTTAGCCTCAACTTTCTGGGAGATGTAAAAGAAAATATACAATTGAATTCGAAAACTTACAGCATCCTCCAGAGGAAGAACATGCTCAATGGGTGTATCAGTATCACATTCTGTCATTATTCCTCCAAACGATTCTTGAATCTCCCCATTTTGTTTATCAAATTCACCAATTCTCCGGAATTTGTATTTGGGCAGACGTTCAATATCTTCCTTATTTGCTCCTTCCTGCATCATACAGAGCCAATGCTAAGCCAAGAAAGAAACCCTAACACATTCCTACTGAAAGGTAGATTTTTGTGCCAGAGAAGATAATTTAGAAGATAACCCAAACAGTGACACCAAAAAAGCTACAAGAAATAGATAAATCTATTCAATTAAATACGGCATTTATCCTAAATGTATTTATTGTACTAAAGATCTATAATTATATCAGAAGATACTCATACATTTCACCTTTAAGGAGTAATTGTATCACTTCATTTTCTAAAAAAAATTAAGTGCTTATCTCAAAAGTAAAAAATGGAAAACAACATAAATGGGAATTTGCAGTAAGAAGTAAGAACCATACTTTCTTCCTCACACCTTCAATGTTAAGATGTTGAGAATGGAGAAAATGGCCATGAGGCTTAACTGGCATCCATATCACAGAGAATATGAAAATGAAAAATTATTAAAATCTATATATCTATGATAAGGGACCTCAATTTGTAACACAGATCTAAGAGGCAGGATGCAATTTTCCTTGTATCTTAACTGACTAAAAACATTGCTATATCCTTCTTCTGTTTTACTTTCTTATCATCGGGAAAGATCTATTAGAGATGTACTAGTTGGTTTAAAAATAAATAAACAAATAAAATAAAATAAAAGAATCCTCATTCATGTTAAGTACAATGTTTTTCCCTTAGTCCATAAGGACCTTCGCTATGAATGTCATTCCTATGCTGTCAAATTACTGAAGTTTCTACATAATACAATAAATACAGAACATTTAGCATCCATACAAGATTAAAAATATATATAAAATAAAATAAAACATGAACTGTTGTAAAAACTGATAATTGAGCTTCTATATATCCCTCCGAGCCTCCATTACTCTTTTTGGTTGGTCGAATCCTCCATATGTGTGGCGTGTAAAACGACAAACTAGTATTGATGAAAAACTGAAAACCCAAGGTCCCAAACTAACATCACCATTCTCAAAAATATTCACCGATTTCTTTCTTCCTTATTTTTTTTTTTTTTCATACTTCTCAATTTTCATCCACCCCTTTTCTAGGTAAGTCACAGTTCTTCAATCTCATCCTTCCCTTGTTCTCCACTTTAAAACAAATCTTGAGAATATAAAATCCAGACATCCTTAAGATAATGCAACTATTTAATCAGTGAACTCATGTTTTCTAGCAAGTTGTCAACAGTATGGTCATACAAATGATTTTTGTACTCTTTTATGTGTCACTCAATCCATATTTTCTCATAGATAATGTGTCATTCAACTCCATAAAATCATTCACCCAACCAGAAATGGTTATTGAGATTTGAGTTGCAAAAGAAGTGAGTAGTTAAATACTAGGCATGAACTTTATGATAGAAATGTTATCATGACATTGCTCCATGGATCATCAAAATAATGATTGTTCAATCAAATTTCAAAAGGACCCCCTGCTTTTAACATTAGAATTATTATATTTCAACTTAGAAAGTTTTTACATTTATGGTGCACAAAATTCACTCCAGAGCTTTAATCCATTGACAAAAAGAATACAGCTCCTTTCAATCCAATCTTCAGTTCTACTCACAATAAAATTGGTTCATTATAAATAGCAATTATTAGCATGCTTCATATAAAAGATGTCCAATTTGAAAATCATCCCCAAACTACCATAAACATGTTGTGCCAATCCATGCAAAGATCACGTGTCAGTTACATCAGAAGTTTACTCATTTGCTTCTCAATAAAAAGTTGTTCTTATTAGTGAACTCAAATCTATGCCCATAGAAACAGCTATGGGTAGAAAACTCAGATTTCCCGACTTAAGTTGGAAAGCCTAAGCTCGAGAATGGATAATTTACGGTACTATTCGGTATTAAGTGCTGTATTTGCAACACATAATTTCATTAAACATGTTTATTTGATAACAAATATTCGATCAGTACTTCTAAAAACAGCTTAAAAGTAAGTAAATGGGACCTAATTATCACTTATCCCAAAATGTGAAAAGTTGAAGGGTTTTAAAAAGGAAAATTTACAACAGACAGATATACAATCATGTTAACTTCATAAAGATAGTTACATCCTCTACAGTCAAATTCCAATCTTTTGTCAACAAGTCATGACATATTGTCATGTTTTGCGAGATATATGATCACTGGAATTAACCCTTTAGCATCCTCAAAATAAGCTAGAGGGAGGCGATCTGATCAAACCTTGATATTACTTTGCACAAACAATTGTAACAAATTGTCAAGTTCTTGGCTTCAAATATTTTTTTTTTTTCTTTTTTCTTTTTTTTTTTCTTTATCCTACTTCAATAAATTCAAGACATTTATTGCTAAATTTAGTAGTTCCCATTATTCAGCTATAATTAATATTTTTGATGGCCAATTATGACATTAAGGTCCCTTGTTAAACTGACAGATTACTGTAGAGTGGCATTTGTTGTCATATAATTGTTTTTTCATATTCTGTAGATGTTACCCTTTAAGAATGTTACTATACGACCCTTGAACGAATAATCATAAAGCAAACATATTTTTTTCAATAGTGGTTGTGTCAGGCCTCTTAAAGCACCCCATAAACCACCACCAGGATTCAGTTTTCATACTCATCAAACAATTTTAATAAATTCATTACTCAAAAATTAACAATGCCAAACAAGTTTCTAAAAAATATCCAAATTCACAATTAAATTCAACTTTAAATTTCTATAGCTTAATTTTCAATTTAATCAGAGAGCACCTAAGTCTTCTACATCAGTCTACTGAAGCCAAATATATATATATATATATAAAGAGAGGAGGAATATATTCATGGTAAATTACCTGATCTGCCACCGCATATAAGAGTGCAATAATACAGGGCAGACAACAGCAAACAGCAACACCAATTACACATGCCGCAGCAACACAAATAACAACAAAGAACACATCAAATGCCAAAAATGTAATACAAAGCCTGCAAAAGAGAACCATTTAATAAATTTTTCAACACACTAAAAACCAAATTTTGAAGTTAAAGCCTCACTAGAGAAGAATATGTTCATGCGAACCAGTAAAGTTGAGGTGAATCACGTGTCAAACTTTCGCCACCAGCAGATATCCAATAGAATCCGATGATCCACCAAATAAATGAAAACATCGTATTTGCAGACTCGAGATGCTTAGCAACACTGCCACAGTAAATCCAGATTAAACTGATTAGGAACTTCTTTTGCGAGAAATAAATATCAAAAAACTCAAGATTAAACTGATTAGATACAACCTAGTACACCACCAATGTAATGCCCTGATAGTAACGGAATATTGGCATCAATTCACTGGCCAATTTATAAACTACTCCATCCCAAATAATTTGTCCAATACTCGTTCATTTCTGAGAAGTCCAAAGTACCATATTTTACAACATTCTAAAATTACTCTCAAAATATTTGAGTGGGAAAAAAAAAATTAAGATACAAAAAGAAAAGATAAGAGGCAGCAATTACTCACATAACAGTGACTTAAAAGCAGTTTAATATAGAAGACTTAAGTAGAAAAGCAGCATTGGAGGAGAGAGAAGATGTAGCACAAGGCAACTGGCAACAAAAATTTTCTAGACCATTAGCATTCGGAGCGTCCTATGTGCCAACTCCAAAAACTGGACACGTCAGCATACAAGTGAGACTACTTTGCACAAGCATTGATAAGCAAAAAATTAGAAAAAAGCCTTGCTTCTATATTTTTCCGTGATTAAACACGACTCTAATGCATTTGAAAACTTGAATCTGGTCTAATAGCACCTTTCCTGATTCCCTATGAACTGTTGATTAAGTAAAATTTAAGGCCTTTGACAGTGACTGAGTATTTGTAAAAGTGATAAATAAATTTTTGAGATTTTGTTGATATCAAAGTGGAGCAGCTTGCGACCAACTTGTTTGGGAAGTTTATACAATACATCAACTACAGATTGATAGGAAATGAAGGCTTTCACTCGCCGCCAAAACAAGGTAACAGTTATGGCATTTACAGATAATAAAGTCTCCTCGTTTTCGCTTTCGTTCAATAATGTCTCAAAGACAACTAGGCATTGTTGGTTGGGTACATTTCTTTAGGAATGCATTTAGTTGCAATGCCTCCATGTTTAATTGGGACAGAAAAAATTGTGGGCAAAGACTCTGCACTTTTCTAACCCATTTCTATACTAGAGATTCCTAGGCTTAGTATGAATTCAACCAAATCACATCCAGATATATTTAGCAGGTTCGTGCATAAATTGAAAAATCCTTATATTCTAGTCCAAGAAAATAGCAAAAAAATAAATGGAAATCCTTAATACAGTTCTTCCTCAAATTCATCTAAACTCCTTAGCTATTGAACCAATTGCAAAGTGTGCCCATGACCTAGCAGCCATGATTAAATGCATTTCTTATTGGTAGTTCAATCAACATGTTGATATGATGTGATTGACATGGTTTGCTATTTCCGACATGATTTGGCAATTACAACTTAGAGACCTACAAGGTTACTTCAATAAGCAGCCCACCTGCTGCTAATGTAATAAGACTAAACATGCAGCAATTCATCATCACATGTTCGAAGAAAATGTTCCACTTTCAAAAATAAAAAAAGGGAAGGGGGGCTCTAAACTATGAACTTTCTCTACTGTCCAATATGCTAAATGTTCAGTATAAGTATCAGTACCAATCACTTTCACCCACCCACAAACAACATGTGCATCCATAATCTACATGCATGCACCAATCTGAAGATTATTATCATATTTAAAAAAAATAAGAATTTATATAAATTAGCTTATCGAGTCTAGCCACACACAGAACCAAGAAAAAAAAAAAATCCAACGTCATAAGTTTTCTTCATCTATCTTGATGGCATGGACGCTTCTTGTTTGTCTATCTGTTTACATGTAACGCACTTGTCCAACACCCAAACACTTCTTGAGCACTCCTTGACATCTCTTTCATGGTTAAGACATTTTAAAATACTTTTTCCATCTAGCCAGTTAGCATATACTTAACATTGCATAGATGACAGCTAAACCATTCTGTCAAGACAAGGCTTTCTTTAGTATAGCAAAAGGCTATGATGGCAAAGAAGAACAAATTAAAGGTTACACACATTAAAATAAAATTATTAATATAACATCTGACATCAGTTGTTATAGTACAATACATAATATGTAAGCCCACATTTTTTTGTTTTTGATAAGTAAAATACGTTAATTCTTTTAGGGGATGAACCTACCACAGTAGCTGCTTAGGCCCTCACACGTTGTGTTGCGCTACTGGCTTGGCTTGGCCTCCCATGTATAATTGTTCTCTTGGAGGATTGGGTATTAGAGGAGGAGAAAAATCATCATGCTTATGTGATTCCGTGTACATATACATATATTTTTTTTCTTTTCATTGACAAGAAACACACCCACAACTCACACACCCACTTTGCCGGATGCTGGGTGCTCACCATGTCCTATTTTGGTAAGATTTTACCTTGTCCACATGATCACGTTCATGCATGATAATTCCACACATATTTCCATAAAGGAGTCTACAACTTCAATTATTGAATTAATTACTAACCTTATATATGAAATAACCATCTTTCCGGGCATATTACACAGCAAAGAAAAAGACTCTTAAGACAGTATTCACATTTATAAAATAAAAATAAAAAAAAGTTAATCTTTTTGTAACAATTCAAAACAATAAAGCAAATAATTGGAGTTTAGCATACACATGAGAAAAAATTAGGAAAATGAGGAAAAAGACGCAAATCACTTTTTACAATACCTGGTTTCATCTTCATTTTGATGCTGAACATAGTCCCCAGGCTCCCCTCCATCACTTCCCAAACTCGAATCTGAATTCCCACTATTCCACCCACCGCCGCCGCCGCCGCCGCCGCTTTGTTCAAGGAACGAACCATCAGGTGAATCACTCAGCCTTCGCTTGTACTCCAGGTCTACGCAGACCATATGAAGCACACACTGAAACGCATATCCAAAGATCCAGAGCCTCAACGGCATCAGCGGTGTCTCATACCGACTCATAATCAGCACAATCACCGCGACGATGATGAACGCGAAGTTCCAAACGAGGTCTAGGATCACGATCGGCCGCGAGTACGCCCAATCGCTCTGCCGCTCCTCAATTTGCTCCGCCGCCGCCTCCCTCACCCGCATCGACGGCTCGCGCATCATCCGTCGGCTGCTGGCGCGGCGGAGGAACCGCGCGGCGCCGCGGAGGCTCGGCGGGCGGCGGACGAAGCGGCGGCTTCGGAAGATCTGGTCAGAGACTGAGCTCCCGAGCAACGGCGTCGTGTCGACGGGGTTGTCATCGGCCGGAGAACGAGGTGGTCTCGCCGTCGACATCGTCGGAAACTGTATATATAATTACTAGAATTGGTGTGGATCGATTCAAGTGGGAGTTGAGAAGATTGAATTGATTTGGCGCATCTTTTGAAATGAACCCTAGCTTTGATCGGACGGATTGTAAGAGGTTTTGAATTGGATGGTTTGGATTGGACTGTTACTGTTGTCGATGATTTCACTGTTTTGTGTTTTGTCGGCGTCAATGTTTCAAATGTGAATATTGCTACCGTTCCAAGGGTTTATGGACATTTATGGCATGTGAGAAGGAGCGTATATTCAAAATCGACAATACTCAGCTCTCAGACATAAGGGTAGTCAAACTACTATTTTTAATTTAATAGGTAAATATCTATTCATTATTTTTAATTTAATAATTAAAAATTACATGTCATTTTATGGATACCTAAGAGCATCACCTCTAACCTTTGTCTATATTTTTTATATATATAAATCTGATGGGTCATGATGAATTTACACACAAATGTTAAATTATTTAATGTTAGTTTTAACCGTTATTTTATACTTTTGTGTAAAAATATATCTCCTAATAACAATTAACCATGTGTCATGTCAGATCCTGCATAACTTCTACTTAATATATGGCTAATTCTTTAATGCAATGAGAATGAGAAATGAGAAAACAAATATGTTAATTTTGCAGTGTAATCTTTTTACACATTGGTGATGTGTCAAAATTTACACATTATAAATAATCATGTATATTTTAAAATATATATATATATATATATATATATATATATATATATATATATATTAACATATTGTTAGATATGCTCTAAATATTAGTATTGTCCATTCAAAAAAGAAAAGGAGGTTTTCTATACCTACAGGATCTTTATGGACATTTAAGTATCAAGAGATTTAAATCATTAGTAACAAGTAAATAACTCGACTTTAAATTATCTTATAATTAAAAATAGACGAAGTTGAAAGAAAAAAGAGAAAACAACAAAAGACCATGCGAGCGAGTACAGAACTTTGGTTGCACTCGCGGGTATACAGATAAAGATCGAAAGCGTTGGAGTCAGTTGGACAGGTGTGATGTAAGGAAAGGAAAAGGCCAAAACGGGTTTTGAAAGCAAAAGAGGGCCCACGTAGCCCCTTAGTTACAAGAATTGATGATGATGGCGGGACTCCAGTGATCTACACAAAAAGCAACCAAACACGTATACGACGAAGTTACGAACTAATTAAATTCCAATTTTTTTTTTTTTTTTTAAATTCCAAAAAAAAGTTACGAACTAATTGGCGGTATTTATTTCCCGCCAAAGCATGATATATACTCGTTATTATATAAATATATATTAGTACTGAATAATAGTATACGAATATATTATATATATATGAATTATTATATATAAATAATGCTAATTACTTATATTTATTACTAGGAAAAAGCATATGCGATGCATGTGTTGAATATTTTTGTAAGTAAAGTAATAAAATTTTATAGAAAATAAAACAGTCAATTTGTGATAGGTTTTATAAAAATTATTTTATTTTTTTTATTATATTTTCTTTTATTAAAAAAACTCATAATAAATAAATAAATAGGTAATATGTGTTATAATTTTCTATAAATTCTTCTAAAAACTCTTTTTATGTCAATTAATAAATATTTTTTTACATTAATAATTCTTACCTAATTGGATTTCAATAAATAAATAAATAACTAATTTGTGTTACAGTTTTATATAAACTCTTTTAAAATATCTTTTTATATCAATTAATAAATAATTTTTAAAATTAACAATAGTTGCCTAATAAGATTTTTTTTATTAAAATACTCAAAATAAATAGATAAATATGTAATTTGTAGTAGAGTTTTTCTAGTCTAATTAGATTTTCTTTTATTAAAAACTTATAATAAATAAATAAATAGGTAATTTTTTTAAAGTTTAATAGAAACTTTTTAAAAAAAATGTTTTTATATCAATTAATAAATATTTTTATATTAATAATTCTTGTCTAATTAAATTTCTTTTTATTAAAAAACTCATAATAAATAGATAAATAGGTAATCTGTGCTAGAGTTTTATATAAACTCTTTTAAAACCTCTTTTTAGATCAATTAATAAATAATTTTTTATATTAATAATACTTGTCTAATTAGATTTCCTTTTATTAAAAACTCTTAATAAATATATAAATAGGTAATATGTGTTAGAATTTTATAGAAACTCTTTAAATATTATATTTTTGTCTAGTGTGATAAAGTTTTATTGAAAATAAAATATGTAATTTGTGATAGAGTTTTATAGAAACTATTTTACTTTCTTTAAATATATCATTGTCTAATTAGATTTTATTTTATTAAGAAACTCATAATAAAAGTTAATTTGTGATAGAGTTTTAGAAAAATTATTTTATTTTATATATCAATTAATAAATATTTATAATATTAATAATTATGGTCTAATTAGATTTTCTATTATTAAAAAATTCATAATAATAAATAGATAAATAGGTTAATTTAAATTTCATTAGATAGATTTTAGAGTTTGATAGAGTTTTTTTTTTATTTTAAAAAAACTCTTTTCATATCAATTAATAAATATTTTTTTTATATAAATAGATACTTAAATACTGAAACTCTTTGCACATTTAATAATAGTATTAATAAAAACTCTTTTTATATCAATTAATAAATATTTTTTTATATAAATAAATAAATATTGAAACACTTTAGATTATCTTTTATTATTATGAATTTTTTAATAATAAATACTTTGACAGAGCTTTTGTATTTTTTTCTGAAAATTAGATTTTCTTTTATTAAAAAAATCATAATAATAAATAGATAAATAGGTTAATTTAAATTTTATTAGATAGATTTTAGAGTTTTCTAGAGTTTTTTTTTTTATGAAAACTCTTTTCATATCATTTAATAAATATTTTTTTATATAAATAAATAAATATTGAAACTCTTTGCACATTTAATAAATATTTTTTATATAAATAAATAAATACTGAAACTTTAGATTTTCTTTTATTAAAAAGTTCATAATAATAAATAGATAAATAGGTTAATTTTAATTTTATTAGGTAGATTTTAGAGTTTTACAAATTTATTTATTTATTTATTTATTTATAAAAACTCTTTTCATATCATTTAATTAATATTTTTTATATAAATAAATAAGTACTGAAATACTGAAACTCCTTGCATGTTTAATAAAATTTGTTTATATAAATAAATATTGAAATTATTTGGCAGAGTTTTTATATTCTGTATTTTATATATAAATAAATAAATACTGAAACTCTTTAGCGAAGCTTCTTTAATTCTGGGTCTATGCCTCTCTGAATTTCTTTCTTTATATCAATTAATAAATATTTTATAATAAATAAATAAATAGGTAATTTGTGTTAGAGTTTAATATAAACTCTTTTAAAAACTCATTTTATATCAATTAATAAATATTTTTTATTCTAATAATTCTAGTCTAATTAGATTTCTTTTATTAAAAAAACTCATAATAAATAGATAAATTGGTAATTTATGTTAGAGTTTTATAAAACCTCTTTGAAAATATTTTTTTTATATTAATTAATAATTAATTTTCTATAAGAGGTCTAGAAGGCATGATTATTATTTCTTTAGTTTTATAATTTTATAAGAGGTTGAAGATGCAAGAAATTCATACTCTCTTTCTTTCTCTATAATTCTTACATTTCAACAAAAAATCTCCTCCCCTTTTCTTTTCATTCATTCTCCTATTTATAGATATTTACAAATGTTGACGGATTGCTGGATCTGGGCCTGTTCCTCCATAAGTCCTGGTCACCTTTGATGGGCTTATTCGCGTTCGGCCCATATGGCAGTGTCTTTTTATGGGCCGACCCAGCTATACGGACCGGATGTCGTGTTTGCAAGTCATATCCGGCCCATGTCGTCCTGGGCCTCCTCAACTGCCCCCATAATTGCCCCTTATTTAATAAGGGGGTAATTATTGATGGCGTCTCATCATGACGTTGACGGCTCGAGAAACCCACGTGGGGGAACGGACGGTCAGATCCAGAATCAATGTTCCTGGGCTCAATGAATTTCTCGCCTTCCTGACGCTTCGGCCCTCGGGTCCCCCTCGCCTTTATAAGGCTCTAGAATACCACTTCATGCCTTTTTACCGTCTCCATCATCAGTCAAATCTCTCTCTTTTTAGAACAGTGCTAAGCTTTTTCTGGTGAAATCCTTCAAGAGTCATTCTTCCAGCGATCTTACAGTGCTCTTTGTTGCTTTCTACCTCAGAGGTTAGTTTTGTTCCTTTTTACTTTCGGCAGGCTTCTTTTTACCCCTTTTAGATCCTTCAAACACTTCCACCATGGTTGTAGATCTAGATGTTCTTCGTATGAGACTTAGACTTCCTGACAACATCGAAGTTAGGGTTTGCCCTAAGGATGTTAATATTATGACCGGTGCCGGCCTCCTGCCCGGCGAAGTTTTATTTACAACCTTTAACTGAATGTCGTTAGGTTCCCTCTGCACCCCTTCTTTAGTTATGTCTTCAATAGACTGGGGATATCACCCCTGCAGGTAAACCCCAATATCTTTAGAATCATATCTGCTATGCTTCTGTTGATTCGTGACAGAAGTCTGGACCTTGACCTCATAGATCTTCTTCTGTGTTATAAGGTCAGTAAGATCCAAACTAACGAGCCCTTCTACCACCTCTACCCGTTCGAGAAGATGTCCATATGTACGGACACAATAAAATCTGAAAAGGGTTGGAGGGATAACATCGTGGGCATTAGTGGGGCTTGGTCTTCGCCGGCTGCAGAGGGTTACCTAATCCCGAGCGCCTTTGGCGTCTGTTCTGTTTCCTCATATAAGAAATTCAAATCTCACAAACATGATTGCCCCTGCGAAACATGCGTTCCCCGCTTTTGTATTTTCTTATGCCGCTCCTTAGGAATACCTTGTGATGACTTGAGCTACAGTGTTTGCAGGGATAGGAGTAATTACTTGAAGAAATACGTTCTGAATGATATTCCTTCCTGCTCAGACCTCCTCACTTCAGACAACCTCCTAGCGCTCTCATCCCTCGGCTACAACATGAGCAGGCTTCAGATTCCTTCTTTTGGCAGGAAGAAAAATACTCCCCCAGCCACTCCTGCTGCTGGGGCAACCTCCTCTCCTGCATCAGCCTCTTCCTCAGCCACCATCTCTGACACTATCCCGAGCACGGTGGCTACTGACTCTGTTGTCAGCACCCCT